TATATTTTAGATATTAACCCCTTATCAGATAGATGGTATACAGGTGTTTTCTCCCAATCTGTGAGTTGTATCATCTGTCTGCTAATTGTTTCCTTTGCTGTGCAGAAGCTTTTTAGTTTGATACTATCCCATTTGTCTGTTTGTGATTTTGTTGCCTGTGTTTGGAGTCCTACCCAAGAAATCATTGGCCAGAACAGTGTTGTGAAGCTTTTCCCTTATGTTTTCTTCTAGTGACCTTACTCTTTGAGATCTTCTGTTTAAGTCTTTAATTCATTTTGAGTTGGTTTTTGTACATGTTGTGAGAATAGGGTTCAGTTTCATTCTTTTGCATGTGGATATCCAGTTTCCCAGCACCACTTACTGAAGAAACTGCCCTTCCCCCATTGTGTGTTCTTGGAATCTAAGTTGAATATTGTTTTATTTTAAATGCTTGGATTAATTTCTGGACTTTATATCCTGTTCCCTTGGTTGGTGTGTCTGTTTCTATGTCAGTATCATGCTGTTTCTATTAAATAAGCTTTATCATACCTTTTAAAATCAGGGAGAATGATGCCTCTAGCCTCATTGTTTTTGCACAAGATTGTTTTAGTTGTTTGGGGTCTTTTCTGGTTTCATTTGAATTTTAGGATTTTTTTTCTATTTCTGTGAAAAGTGTCATTGAAATTTTCATAGAGATTGCATTAGATCTCTAAATATCTTTGGGTAGAATGGACATTTTTGACATTGAGCGGCTGAATGGATGAAAAAACGTGACCCAATAATATGCTGCCTACAGGAGACACTCATCATCTCTAAGGACACCCATAGACTGAAAATAGAGAGTTGGAAAGACATATTCCTTACAAATGGAATCCAAAAGAGATCAGGAGTAGTTTTGTTTATATCAGATATAAGAGACTTGAAAAAGTGAATAGTGACAAAAAACGTCACATGTAATGATAGAGATGTTAGTTCATCAAGAAGTTTGGCAGTTGTAAATATATATGCACCCAACATTGGAGCATCGGAGCACCTAAATATACAAGGCATATATGATAAAAACTGAAGGGAGGGAGGGAGGGAGAGAGAGAGAGAGAGAGACAGAGAGACAGAGACACGACAACTCCAGTACAATAACAGGAGACTTCACTACCTCACTTTCAACATTGGACAGATTATGTAGACAGAAAATCAATAAGGAAACATTGTACTTAAACCACATTTCAGACTAATTGGACCTAATAGACATTTATAGAACATCTCAGCTCAAGTACATGTGGAATATTCTCCAGGATAGATCATATTTTAGGACACAAAGCAAGTCTTAACAAATTTAAGGAGATTGAAATCATATTAAGCATCTTTTCTAATCACAATGCCATGAGACTAAAAATAACAGGAGGAATCTTGGAAGGCTCACAGATGTATGCAAATTAAGCAACCTACTTTTGAAAACCATGAGTCGAAGAATAAATTAAAAGGGAAATTGAGGCAAGTGAAAATGGAAACACAACATACCAAAACTTATGGGATGCAGCAAAAACAGTCCTGAGAGGTAAGTTTATAGCAGTAAGCATTAAAAAAGATAGAAAATATTGACATTGAACCTCAAGGAACTAGAAAAAGATGAACAAAGTATGCCCAACCTTAGCAGAAGGAAGGAATAAGGAAGATCAGAGCAGAAATAGACAAGATAGAGACTTGAAAAACAACAGAAAAGATTAACAAATCTTAAAGTTGTTTTTTTGAGAAGATAAACAATATTGACAAATTTTTAGGTAGACTTAAGAAAAAAACAAAAGACTCAGAATCAGAGATGAAAGTGGAAACTGAACAGACCAATAACAAATAATGAGATTGAATTGGTAGTAAAAAGTCTTCCATCAAAGAAAAGCTTAGGACCAAATGGCTTTTCTGTTGAAGTCTACCAAACATTTAAAGCAGAACTTACACCAGTGTTTTTCAAACTCTTCCAAAAAATTGAAGAGGAGAGAATACTTTCAAATTCATTTTATGAGATCAGCATTACCCTGATACCAAATTCAGACAAGGATACTACAGGAAAACTAAAGGCCAATATGCCTTTTGAGCGTAGATGCAAAAGGCTGGGTGCAGTGGCTCATGCCTGTAGTCCCAGCACTTTGGGAGGCCGAGGTGGGCAGATCACTTGAGGTCAGGAGTTTGAGACCAGTCTGGCCAACATGGTGATGCATCCCTGTAATCCTAGCCACTTGGGAGGTGGCGGCAGGAGAATCACTTGAACCCAGGAGGCGGAGGTTGCAGTGAGCCAAGATTGTGCTACTGCACTACAGCCTGAGTGAATGAGCGAGACTTGATCTAAACAAAAAAACAAAAAAACAAAAAAAACAACAAAAAAAAAACCGCATAAGTCCTTAACAAAATACTAGCAAACTGAATTCAACAGCACATCAAAAAGGTCAATCACTGTGATCAAGTGGGATTCATCCCTGGGATGCAAAATTGGCTCAGGATATGTAATTCAGTAAATGTGGTGCACAATATTAACAAGAGGAAGGGCAAAACCTGCATGATCATTTTAATAGATGCAGAAACAGTATTTGACAAAATTCATGATAAAATCTCTCAACATAAGAGGTATAGAAGGAATGTATCTCAGCTGGGCAAGTGACTCATGCCTGTAATACCAGCACTTTGGGAGGCTAAGGTGGGTGAATTATCTGAGGTCAGGAGTTCTAGACCAGTGTGACTAACATGTTGAAACCCCGTCTCTAATAAGAAGATGCCCATTCTCACCACTTATATTCAATGTAGTATAGGAAGTCTGAGCCAGTGCAATTAGGCCAGAAAATGAAAGAAACAAAATGCATCCATATAGTAAAAGAAGGAGTGAAATTTTCTGTTTTCTGATGACATGATCTTATATGTAGAAAACCCTAAAAATCCACCAAAAGAACCCTCTTAGAACTGATATACAAATTGAGTAATGTTGCAGATTACAAAATTAACTTGAAAATCTGCATTGTTTCTATACTCTAACAATGAACTATCCAAAGAAATCAAGGAAATAATTCCATTTATGATAGGATCTAAGAAAGTACTTTGGAGTAAATTTAAGTATAGGCGAAAGAGCTGTATAGTGAAAACTATAAAACATTGATGAAAGAAATTGAAGATTCAAATAAGTGGAAAGGCATCCAATGCTCATGGATTTGCTTTCTATCTCCTGCAGCTCCCCTTCTCAGAACTGCTTTTCTGTTTGTTTTTTTTCTTTTTTCCTTCTATTGGTAATGATGTTTTTTGCTTTTATACTGCAAGCAGTGATTTTAATCTGGGGCAGTTTCTTACCCTAGACAACATCTGGAGATATTTTTGTCATAACTTAGTGTTGGGGGGATCCTGCTAGCATCTAGTGGGGACAGGTGAGAGATGCTGCAAAACACCCTACAATGGAAAGTCCCCATAGCAAAGAATCATTCAACAGAGAGTATCAATAGTTTCAAGGTTGAGAAGCCCTGCCATAACCTGTCTCCACTGCATCTACCTGCAAAGTATGAAGAGACAAAAGCCAAGCAGAAGTAATGGTTAATTGTTTTAAGGAACTCAGAGCAGTAAGAAATGTTTCATTGGAGAAGGAAGTTTTCTGAAGTCCCAAATTAGGGTACCAACCCTTCCTATCTTGGAGTCATGAGATTTTCTTGTGATTGAGATGGTAACACCTGCCAAAAAGAAATCCTCTTGCCTGATACTGATGCTTATGCAGTTCCTCCCATTATTTACTCAGCATCTTGCAGTATTACATAACTACTCAGGTCTCTTATGTGTTCTAATTGTTTATATTCAACATGTCACTGATTTTGCTATTCATTATTCATTTTTTGTCATTTTGTCAGTTAAAATGGCCAGTGGATCTGCCTTTGCCTGAAAGAAAGACTTCATTGCTCTTAAAATTGTGAGATGTTGAAAGATTTAATATTTTTGATTGTGGCATGGTTCTAATCATACTAATCTAGCTAGAACTCAGTTCTTGCTTTAATCTTGCCCTGCTTGAACATGAAGCTATTTTCATTTTGTACTGTATTATTTATGCAGTGTGGTAAAATGTCACTTTGCCTCAAGGTGACCTTTGAAGTTATAGGGAGTCTATGTTTTGATTAAAATATATTGTGTGGGGTATTAAGCATTTTTAGTGTATAAGGGAAGATGAAGGTGTTCACAGGGCAAGTGGGTGGCTGTAAAGTTTTGCATAGAGATCAAGATTTGTTTTTTAGATATGAGCAGAATCCACCTGGTAATTGGAGAAGAATTATGTAGACTTACGATATATTATGTCATTTTTTAAGAAAATGGAGAACAAGGCAAAGCAAACAAGAAAAAAGAAATGAGACAGGACCTAAAATGACTTCATAGGAGATGAAGCCTTTAAAGTTCAGTGTTAACTAGAGGGAGAGCCTCTAAATTCAGAAACCAAAAGGAAAGAACTCATAGAAAAACCTAGGTTGTTTGCAACATAAAATCTTTGTAACATCATAGATTCCTTATCTTTTCACTGTATAGTTTTTTTTCACTTGTATTACTCTTGAATTTTTAGGGGCAGTCATACATGTGGTGGATAGGTGTGAGGAGGTAGGACAAGAATTTATGAAATTCCTGTATAATTTTTTAGAGGAATATACTTAACCAAGTACAGTTTTATTCTAAAATTTCTTCATGTTATAGAAAGATTTACCTATGTATTTAAAATGACAGTCTCTTTGACTATAGCATACCAAGAAAAGCAAAGTGAGAATGTGCTTGAGAAACCACAGTAAGCCAAGCAGAATATCAGACCTTTGGGATTTAATGGAAGAGTATTCTTGGTGCTTTCTTGTAGTAAACTGGAGTTCATAAAATCCTGAACTATGTAAGGGAATTTAGACTTCTCACAGGGCAGAATTGCTATAATATATGTACTCTGTTTTGTCTCATCTTAATATTTATGACTTAATTTCATGAAATCAGTTTCACTTTTAAGTTTTAAGTTAATTTCTTATTTTTTTCAGTGAATATCACCTCTGCCAGGCAATTAACCGGATGTAGTCGCTTCGGTCATATTTTCCCTTCATCTGCTTACCAGCACATTAAGATGCATAAGAGAATTCTGGGGCACTTGTCATCTGTCTACTGTGTAGCATTTGACCGAAGTGGGAGAAGAATTTTTACAGTGAGTTTAAAATTTATAATATGGTAACATATATAGAATTACAACAATTGAAGCCAGACTGCATGGCATGGCATTGCGATTTGTAAGCAGTTCACCTTTTTTGGATATATGGGTGCAGAAAAAGATGAGTGGAAATTGAAAAATTTTTCTCATTTTGTATAAGTAAACGAGTGAACGAAAATGTTTACTATCTTCTTGGAAGATTAATTTAACAAAGTTAAATCTTCAGAAGACCTTATATTCTAGAAGTGGTTAATTTATGTGAAACAAGTGTACTCTATTTCATTTCATTCAATTTTAACAAACATTTATTAAAATGCACTTTCGTGTGTCACTTAGTGTAATTGCTGCCAGTTTTGCCTAAATAATGATTTCATGACATTTTTTTGATTAGATAGTTGAACTACACCGTAATGAAGCTTATAGCTATTTTTTATATCTTTTTCTTCGTTTTAGTACTGTTTATTTTTTAAGCTGAACTTTTATTAAGCAGATAATACTGTATGCTTTTGAGTACAAAATTGTAGTACACCAGTATTTCCAAAAAAAAAGCTTAGTCTCATTGCTTTAGTATTAACATAGAAGTGTGGGTAATAACATAATTTTATTTTTATATTTGTATGCTACAACAAATGAAGCGGAAGTTATTCGGGAAGTTATTACACCTTAGAGTTTATTTTGGACTCTTTCATTAATTACTTAATGACTCTAAATGCATCACATAAGTATTTGGATGTTAGTGATCGTGATGAGGATGATGAATGCTATATTTTAATAAACAGATAATTGTTAAGTAACTTTTCTACCGTAGTAGAGTAGAATTGCTCTTTACAGTTCACTCTTCTGAAATTCTCAAAAGGAAGTTTAATATATTTTTACCAGAAATAATCATTAACTGCTAGCCTCATGTTTACTGAGAAATGCATGTAGACTTTAGGTTAAATTCTGAATAATTTGTGGAAAAAATATTTAAAGAATTTAGAAAAAAGGCTGTCAGGTCTAAAGAAAGAAATGATGGTAAAAATGCTTAATGCCAAATCACTAAAAAGTGAGTTTAAAATATCTTGAGTTGTCAGGATTGGTGGTAATTTTGAAAAGTTCTTCATAAATGCCATCGTCACTTTGGAAAATGCTTTGTTATTGCTGTCATTTGGACATCATTTATACTTGCTATTGGATCCCTATTATATGTAGAGAGGAGACTAAAGAGTAAAGACTTAGAAGTAATTTAATAAAATCTTCTTTTTGACTGTTTTTTGGGTGGGGGGCTTGTGGTGAATTTCTGCTTCATTATAAATCTATTGTCCTTTTGTTACTATAGGGTTCAGATGACTGTTTAGTAAAAATTTGGGCTACAGATGATGGACGTCTTCTTGCTACACTTCGTGGACACTCTGCTGAAATTTCTGACATGGCTGTTAACTATGAAAACACTCTTATTGCCGCAGGCAGCTGTGATAAGGTAGTAAGAGTATGGTGTCTTCGAACTTGTGCACCCGTTGCAGTCCTTCAGGGCCATTCAGCTTCTATTACTTCCATACAGGTGAGAAAAGTGATAAAATTTACCTCAAACATATGTAATAAAGGTGAGAATTCTCTGATTTCATGTTACATTGTATAGATAATAGCCCAACTAATAGCAAGAGAAAAATGCTCTCTTCTGGACTTTGCTCCTACCCTGCAGCAAGGTATTTTTTTAAGTTCCTTTTTCATGTAATTCTCTTTTTAAAAAAATAAGTAAAAACATGATTTAAAGAGTCCTATAAATAGAGTGAGACATCTTATTTGTATTTGTTAAGGAGGGAGAAAACCTGTAAATGCCTTAAGAGCACACTCTTTCCTGTTAGAATATAAACGGGTTCTAACTTGAATATTGGCATACCTTGTATTAATATTTAATGCAAGATGTTTGCCAGTCAGATTTAGTATGTGTGTGTCTGTTTTTAGGTTAATATGAGAGGAATTTTTATTCTTAGTTTCAGTGATTTTTTTTTTATTTCAATTTGATGTGTTTTATTTTGTTTTGTTGTCACCCATGCTGGAGTGCAGTGGCGGGATCTCAGCTCACTGCAACCTCCACCTCCCAGGTTCAAGTGATCTTCCCACCTCCACCTCCTGAGTAGCTGGGACTACTGGCATGTGCCACCACATCTGGCTAAATTTTGTATTTTTTGTAGAGACGGGGGTTCGCCATGTTGCCCAGGCTGGTCTTAAACTCCTGGACTCAAGCGCAATTCCTCTGGCTTTGGCTTCCCAAACTGCTGGGATTACAGGCGCATGAGCCACTGCACTCAGCCTCAATTTGATTTTTAATGTAGAATATGTTGGCTGCTTTTAATACTTGTCCACATACTGGTTTTACCAGATGTTGGTAGTGAAAGTCATGGATGATTTAAAATATTTTTTATTTAATAAAACTAATGAAACTGAACTTTTGTCCTCTTCTTGGTATTGAGAGGAAAACAGAGGAATCTTAAAAATTTTACACTTTGGAGAAAGAGACCACTTTTGGAGGTGATAATTACTCCCACTTACTTTTGTTTATTCTTTAGGAAATCATAAGTATGCCATTTTTTGGTGTTATTTAAATAATATGTCATCTTTTTATGGGGAGCTAGCAAGAATTGGGTTCAGTGTATGTTGAATTTGAAAAAGTTCATGTCAAAATTTTGATTATTTGAAATTATTTCGTGGATTTTGATTTGGGAGATTATCAGTTACTTGTGATCTCACTATCATATCTGACTGATTATTTCTGGAATTTGGACATACTGTCATATGCCACTGAAAAAAATCATTTTATTATAGTAGTCCCCCTTATCTGCAGTTTGGCTTTCCAAGGTTTCAATTACCCACCGTCAGCCATAGTTTGAAAATAGGTGAATGCAGTGCAATGACATACTTTGGGAAAGAGACCACATTCATATAACTTTTATTACAGTGTATTGTTATAATTTTATAGCAATATTATAAGGTATTATTTGTTAATTTCCTACTGTGCCCAATTTATAAATTAAGCTTATCATAGGTATGTAGGCACAGGAAAAAACAGGGCTTGGTACTATTCAAGGTTTCAGGCATCCATAGGAGGTCTTGACATGTGTCCTCTGCAGATTATTTAGTAATAATGAAAAATATTTATGATACTGTTTTTTTTTTCATAGTTTCATTTGCTAGTTTGTTTTCTCTTTTTTTTTTTTTGAGATAGAGTCTCGCTCTGTCGCCCAGGCTGGAGTGTAGTGGTGCGATCACGGCTCACTGCAAGCTCGGCCTCCCGGGTTCACGCCATTCTCCTGCCTCAGCCTCCTAAGTAGCTGGGACTACAGGCGCCCGCCACCACGCCCGGCTAATTTTTTGTATTTTTATAGAGACAGGATTTCACCATGTTAGCCAGGATGGTCTCGATCTCCTGACCTCGTGATCTACCCGCCTCGGCCTCCCAAAGTGCTGGGATTACAGGCGTGAGCCACCGCGCCCAGCCTTTTCTCATTTCTTTTACATATTGTAGTGCCTTAGAGATCGGTAGACCTTTCTATCATACTCTTTCTCTTAGTCATCTCATGGTTTTGAATTTCATCTGTAAACTGATGATTTCAAACTTCCATCTCCATTTAGGAACTATCTTTTAGCTTCATACTTGTTTATGCAACTATCTTCTTGGAATCATCACATGTATGTCTACTAGGTATTTCAAACTCATTATATTCAAAATTGAATTAATTTTTCTTCCTCATATCTCCCCAAGCCTTTTCATCCAAACAAATGGCAATACCCTGCTTTCAACTGCTCAGAGTAGTCATCCCTTTTATCTTTCTCTTATACTTTGTATCTAAAACTTGTCAGCAAGTCATGTTGGTTCTACTATCAAACTGTATCTAGAATCTGGCAAATTCTCATGACCTCTATTATTGCTATCCTGTTTTAAGGCACTATCATCTGTAGTCTAGATTATTGAAATAAACTTCTAACCGATCTGCCTGCATCTTCCATTCCCTTTCTCCTGCCCCTTCCATTCCCTTTCCCCTGCCCCAGTTTAGTCTCTCAGTTTAACAGACAAAGTTATTTTAAAATGGCAGTTAAATCATGTCACTGGTGCTCTGGACCATCAGTAGCTTCCAGTCTCAGAGTTAAAACTGAAGTCTCCACAATGCTCTGTATTCTCAGCCTCCTTGGTGCTCTTCAGTCTCATCTACTGCATGTTTGCCTTTTTCACTCTGCTTAACTGCTGGCCACTTTGCTTTTCTTGAACATTCTAGGTGTACATGGCTGCTTTGGCTTTTACTGTTTCCTGTCTCTGGAGTGGTCTTCCCTGGATATTCACATAGTTTGTTTTCTCAGTTTGTATGTGCTTTGTGCACATGTCACCTTCTCAGGGAGACCTCTGACCACCTTATTGCTCTGATTAAAATTGTAAACCACCGCCCCCTAGCCCCCTCCACTGTGTGCACAGCAACTCTGTATCTTCCCTTCTGTTTCATTTTTCTCTGTAGTAATAGTCATCTTTTGGTATTCTTTATATGTTCTTTATTATTTGTGTATTGACTGTCTTTATTAACATCAGTGATATATTATACTCCCACGTTTTGTATTTTTTTAACAAAATTTAGTTAGAATGGTATGATGCTAATAGTGGTTACCACTGAATGGCAGAATTACATGTTACTTTTTTTCTGTTTTTCCACATTTCCTAAATTTTCTACAGTAGGTATGTATTAATTTTTCAGGAATACAAAAATAAATGTTATATTAAACAATCCGTAACATGGTTTCTCATTTCAAACAATTCTATTAAGGCACATTAATGGGCCAGATCCCCCTTTGTGATTGATGAAGCAATTTTAATGCAATGGAGATAAAGGTTTCAATGTTTCTTCACTTTATAAAATTATACTATTTCATATTTAATTGTCTAATTCCTGTAAATCTAAGATCAGCAAATATACAGGCCAGATAGTAAATATTTAGGCTTTGCATGTCATACAGTCTCTGTCACAACTGCTCGGCTCTGTTCCCATAGTGCAAAAGCAGCCATAGACAGTGTAAGGTGACTGTGTTCCAATAACGCTATATTTACAGAAACAGGCAGCAAGCTGAATTTGGTGTGTTGGCTGATTTGTGGATTACTGCTGTAGATTTTAGAGTAAGCTTTTGTTGTTGTTGTTGAGACAGAGTCTTGCTGTGTGACCCAGGCTGGAGTGCGGTGGTATGATCTCGGCTCACTGCAACCTCCGCCTTCTGGCTTCAAGCGATTCTCATGCCTCAGCCTCCTGAGTAGCTGGGATTACAAGCATGTGCCACCATGCCCAGCTAATTATTTTATTTTATTTTTTATTATACTTTACGTTCTAGGGTACATGTTCACAACGTGCAGTTTTGTTACATATGTATACATGTGACATGTTGGCGTGCTGCACCCATTAACTCGTCATTTACATTATGTATATCACCTAATGCTATCCCTCTCCCATCCCACCACCCCACAACAGGCCCCAGTGTGTGATGTTCCCCTTCCTGTGTCCAGGTGTTCTCATTGTTCAATTCCCACCTATGAGTGAGAACATGCTGTGTTTGGTTTTTTGTTCTTGTGATAGTTTGCTGAGAATGATGGTTTCCAGCTGCATCCATGTCCCTACAAAGGACATGAACTCATCCTTTTTTATGGCTGCATAGTATTCCATGGTGTATATGTGCCACATTTTCTTAATCCAATCTGTCATTGTTGAACATTTGGATTCGTTCCAAGTCTCTGCTCTTTTGAATAGTGCTGCAGTAAACGTGTGCATGTGTCTTTATAGCAGCATAATTTATAACCCTTTGGATACATACCCAGTAATGGGATGGCTGGGTCAAATGATATTTCTAGTTCTAGATCCTTGAGGAATTGTCACACTCTCTTCCACAATGGTTGAACTAGTTTACAGTCCCACCAACAGTGTGAAAGTGTTCCTATTTCTCTACATCCTCTCCAGCACCTGTTGTTTCCTGACTTTTTAATGATTGCCATTCTAACTGGTGTGAGATGGTATCTCATTGTGGTTTTGATTTGCATTCCTCTGATGACTAGTGGTGATGAGCATTTTTTCATGTGTCTGTTGGCTGCATAAATGCCATAGGCATGGGCAAGGACTTCATGTCTAAAACACCAAAAGCAATGGCAACAAAAGCCAAAATTGACAAATGGGATCTAATTAAACTAAAGAGCTTCTGCACAGCAAAAGAAACTACCATCAGAGTGAACAGGCAACCTACAGAATGGGAGAAAATTTTTGCAATCTACTCATCTGATAAAGGGCTAATATCCAGAACCTACAAAGAACTCAAACAAATTTTTTATTTTTAATAGAGACGGGGTTTTGCCATATCAGCCAGTCTGGTCTCAAACTCCTGACCTCAGGTGATCTGCCTGCCTCGGCCTCCCAAAGTGCTGAGATTACAGGTGTGAGCCACTGCGCCCAGCCAGATTAAGCTTTTTAATGCAAATTTCTCAATCTCAGAAATGAAAATATAGTTAACCCTTTGTGTCTGTAGATTCTGCATCTGTGGCTTCAACCAGCTGAGGAACAAAAGTCATTTGAAAAAAATTAATCTTCCTACTGAACATGTACAGATTTTTTTCTTGCCATTATCCCTTAAATAATATAGTATAACAACAAATCACTACAACATTTATATTGTATTAGGTATTATCAGTAATCTAGAGATGATTTGAAGTATACAGGAAGATGTACATATGTTATCTGCAAATACCATACCATTTTATATCAGAGACTTGAGCATCTGCTGATTTTAGTATCCATGGGAGGTCCTGGAAGCATCTCAATGATACCAACAGAGGACTATATAGGCATGAGTCCTGGTTTCTTTACTGCACATCAGTTATTAATGGATAATATTAATGAGTAATTTTTGTTTGAATTCATCTCTGTTGTCTTTAGAAGTTCTGTGCTTCCAAACAAAGAAGCTAAGTAAATTACTTCTAGTATCTATAATGATAATTTTCTTTTGATTTGCATTCAAAATGTATTCAAACCCTATACATCTTAATCCTTAGTCATCATCTCAGTGGAAATGTTTAATTATCTTCATTTGGGATTTTAAAAACTCACTGACATGTAGGAAACTCTTGTCCAATTTTCAGCTTTTTCCTGTGTCCCAGACATCAGGAGCTCAGTTGTTCTTTTTCCTTTTCTGTGATTCTTTTCTGAGGATATGTAAAATACTGAGAGTAAGAGCCTGAGAAGCCCACATGATAAAGGCCTTGATCCTTCTGACATATTAGTAGTCCTCTGTATTGACAAGTTAAGTTTTTTTTTTAACTTGATCTCCATTTTTCCACAATGATATGATATGAATAATGATTTGACCTATTTTACATTATTTATGGAAACAAATGGCTTCCATCTGAAAAGGACAAAATTATATACTTCATTGAATGAAACTGGATTTTAAAGTGAAAAAATAATAAAACCAAATACTTGGATATTAACTTCCCAAGTGTTTTTAGATTTACTTCTAATCCTCTGTCCATCCGAACTATAAAAATTCCACAGTTGTTTCTATAAGTGTATATATAGCACATTTGTAAAATTTTAAATAGTAATGCGCTTGTGAGTTTATTCTCCACTGAAAGTGATTAAAAAATCTTAAAGTGTAATATTAAATAATTTAAAAGTAATTTTTTTATAACTAAAACATTTTATCCAAAGTTCAGTTACTTTTTCTATAGTTTTTTGATATTTTTAAATTTTTATAAGGTATTTATTAATCTAGGAAAGTAAAATAGTCCCTTGACAAAAATTTTTAACTGAATTTATTGAAATTATATTTGTTAAATGATTACAATTTAAAAATACTCTGTGTTTGATGTTAGGCTGAACATGAAAACTTTTTATTTGAATCATATTTTTTTTTGTTTTTTTTTTAAGTTTTGTCCATCAACTAAAGGCACAAACAGATACCTCACTTCTACTGGTGCTGATGGAACAATCTGTTTCTGGCAATGGCATGTCAAAACAATGAAGTTTAGGTAAGTTTAGAAATTTTGTGAAAAATTGAGCATGTTAATTTTTATCTATTGCCTTGATTCTTAATAGTCCATGTATTTAGATATATGTATATATATTTATATATGTGTATGTGTATTTGTGTATACATATCCATACCTACTTCAATAGATTAAGAGATTTTAGGATAAATTTTTTTTGATATTAATGTTGAAGAGACAATTTATATAGAAAATTCTGGCAGAATTTTGTTTGTTTCATTTCTTACTTTGGTAAGAAATCTCATAATGGTAGTAGTAAGTAATATGGTTAATAAAACTGTAGTAATACTGATATCATAAATGATGTTTGCAAGGTTAAATGCATTTTTAACCTAATTGATGGGAATAGTACTTATTGACCACATTCCTTTTGTTTTTTCTGTAATATTGATGCTAAATCGATCAGTATCCAGTAGTGTGCTAACATTCTGGCCCATTAGCTAAACATGATGAAACATAAAAATACCTTATTTTTCCTCTTTAGAGATCGCCCAGTGAAATTTACTGAGAGATCCAGACCTGGAGTCCAGATATCTTGTTCATCTTTCAGTTCTGGTATGTGTAAAACTAGAATGTTTTGAGCATCTGGAATATTAAACGATCCAGTTGTAAAAACAGATTATGTGATTTATGAATAAAAAGATACACATTTGAGTGTTAATTGAAGGATATCAAAAATCTGAACCATGTGTTATGATAGATAAGCTCTTTTGGACTCTAAGTAATGTGTAAGGTTGATTTTTTTTTTTCCTTATTCATAATTTAATACATTTTTATATAATGGTGATTTTGCTTGGTAAAAACAGACCCCCTACTCTAAATATCCACTAACAAAAAAATTTACTTCCCCCACAATCAACACAAAAATTCTGCCCTGAGTTACAAAAAAACATGTACTGTTGCTCCATATTGAAAACACCTTTACAGTGCTTTTTCTACTGCTAAGAATCCTACATTAGTTAACCTTTTTTTTCTCCTTTTTTTGATTGTGGTGAAATATACAGAACTTAAAATTTTATCATTTTAGTCATTTTTAAGTGTACAGTTTGTGACTTTAAGTATATTCACATTGTTCTGCATCTGTCACACCATCCATCTCTAGAACTTTTTCATCATCCCAAAAGCAGTTGACTTTTTACACTCAACCACTATGGCCACGGTAAAGAGAATTGTAGATAAATTGTCTTTTTTTTTTTTTTTTGAGATGGAGACTCGCTCTGTCGCCCGGGCTGGAGTGCAGTGGCCGGATCATAGCTCACTGCAAGCTCCGCCTCCCGGGTTTACGCTGCCTCAGCCTCCCGAGTAGCTGAGACTACAGGCGCCCACCTAGTTTTTTGTATTTTTTTAGTAGAGACGGGGTTTCACTGTGTTAGCCAGGATGGTCTCGATCTCCTGACCTCGTGATCCGCCCGTCTCGGCCTCCCAAAGTGCTGGGATTACAAGCTTGAGCCACCGCGCCCGGCCGATAAATTGTCTTATAAATAATTTTGGAACATTACATTTCTAAATAAAGAAATGAATTCCTCAAGGATGTCTTCTTTAATGTTTATGATCATAGGCCTGTATTCAGTGTATATATAGTTTGTAGATTTTGTTGGATGAATGATATAGTTTTACATTTTCTCTGAATCACTAGTATGTCTCCAATAATTAGAAGACAACCTTGTGTTTCTTGAAGCCTTTTTACTAATGCAAGGTGTAGCATACAACTAAGGAAGTAATGAGGTGGTTTTTAGGGTTCCTTGGTACTATGTTTTGTTTTGTTTTTTAATCTTCTAGGCGGTATGTTCATTACAACTGGTAGTACTGACCATGTGATTAGAATATATTATTTGGGTTCTGAGGTTCCTGAGAAAATTGCTGAATTAGAGTCACATACGGTAAGAGAAAATCAGAAACAGTTGCTTTATTTTTGAATATCCTTGGAAAGTTTATTTCATTTCTTTTCTGATGTGTACCATAGTAATATATACAAATCACAAAGTTTGGTTTACACTTTACTCTTGTCATCAGTACTATACATACTAGTAAAAGTATGAGTTAATTATTCTAAAAGATTTTAAATAGCAGTCTCTAAACTATGGTACTTATAGACTGTCAGATGATTCCATTGGAAAATAATTAGATAAATGATGTGGGAAACAGGAAATGATTATTTTCAAAAATTAATAAAATTACGTGGAAAATCTAATGCAACTACTATTAAATTAACTATTTTAAGGTGTTATCTTACATTAGTGTGCTGTCTTATTACGGAGAACGTAATGAACTAATATCTATTCAGAAGTATTTGTCTCTTGAGATATGGTTTATAAGGTTTCCCTATGTCTGGTTTGTTTCTTATTACTGCCAATAAGCAGTCCTTATTAGTTAGTACATTGTTTTGGGCCTCATTGAAATTAAAAAAAAAAAAATCTACTTCATGATGTTTTTACCTATGAATTTGAGAGAAAGAGCACTTAATTCATTTTACAAATAAGTCCATTTTAACCAAAAATCTGTTTTATGTCTTAGGATAAAGTTGTTGCTGTTCAGTTCTGTAACAATGGAGACAGGTAATTATGTAATACATATTTGTGTAAACAGATGTTTGATATATGTTACTACCATTCCCTCAGATGCAGCTACTTCTATGATAGATACCTTATTTCTGTCCAGTTATTTAGGTTCAAAGCCCTTGTTTGTCTTTGATGACATCCTTAGCCATCACTTCCACAATCTCATCCAAGTCGTAACCATAGCCTATCAGGTCTTCCTTTCTGAGTGCTTTCTTTTTTGTTTATTTTGCTCTATTTCTTTTAGCACCCACGTTATTCAGGCATTTCATTATTTGACCTGTGACCTGTCCATCTCTGCCAGTGTAACCTTGTTCTTTTTTTTTTTTTTTTTTTGAGACGGAGTCTCGCTCTGTTGCCTAGGCTGGAGTGCAGTGGTGTGATCTCGGCTCACTGCAACCTCCATCTCCTGGGTTCAAGTGATTCTCCTGCCTCAGTCTCCCGAATAACTGGGATTACAGGTGCATGCCACCACACCTCGCTAATTTTTTGTATTTTTAGTAGAGACGGGGTTTCACTGTATTAGCCAGGATAGTCTTGATTTCCTGACCTTATCATCTGCCTGCCTCGGCCTCCCAAAGTGCTGGCATGAGCCACCGTGACCAGCCAACATTGTTCTTTACAGAAATCTTTAGTGTTTCCTCTTCTCTGTCTATGGAGTAGAATTCAAATGTCTTAGCCTGGCATTCAGAGCTCTTTACCAAATGACTTAGATCTACATTCTTTTCTACTGTTCTCCATATGAATCCTTAGATCCGGCCTAATTGATATACCCTGCTCCTGTTCACATCTCATCCATTCCTTTGCTTATACTTTTCCTCATATCATCTCTACCAAGAAACGCCATTTCCTACTTTCCCCTAACCTCTTTCTCTTTCTCTCCTACTTTCTGTCTTTCTCTTTTCCTCTCATGTCCCTCTCCTTTCTTTTTTTCCCCCTCTTCTTAACTAGGTCTTATCTTCCTTTTACGGTTCATGCCCTACCTGAAACCTTTCCTGAATGTTCCAGTGTTTAATTGTCTTGACTTTCTCTGAATATCTATATCACTCATTATCCCTATATCCCTAAAGTCAGAAATTATATGCAGATATCCTTGCACTCTCTAAAGTGTCTAATCCCAAAAAGATGACAGCCAAAAAGGCTCTAGCCTAAAAGTTTACCTAGCATAATAGATTTAAAATTTTAAGCACCTAGCATTAATTTGTTTCCAGTACGGGTTATTTCATATCCAAAATACTTGGTACCAGAAGTGGATATTTTTTCAGATTTTGGAATATTTGCATATTATAATGAGATGCTGGGTGGGAGATGGAACCCAAGTCTAAACACAATTCATTTATGTTTCATGTATACCTTACACACGTAGCCTGAAAGTAATTTTATACAATATTTTACATAATTTTGTGCATGAAACAAAGTTTTGACTATTTGGTGACCCATCACAAGAGGCCAGGTGTGGACTTTTTGACATCTGGCGTCATGTTGACACTCAAACACTTTCAGGTTTTAGAATTTTGGATTCGACTAGCTCAACTTGTATGTCTATAAGGACTTTTTTTTTTTGAGGCAGAGTCTCACTCTGTCACCCAGGCTGGAGTGCAGTGGCACGATCTCGGCTCACTGCAAGCTCCGTCTCCTGGGTTCATGCCATTCTCCTGCCTCAGCCTCCCGAGTAGCCGGGACTACAGTACCATGCCACCGTGCCTGGCTAATATTTTTGTATTTTTAGTAGAGACGTTAGCCAGGATGGTCTTGATCTCCTGACCTCGTGATCCGCCCACCTCAGCCCCGCAAAGTGCTGGGATTACAGGTGTGAGCCACCGCGCCCGGCCTATAAGGACTTTATAGGATGATCATGTTCTATTTTTAAATAACTTTTGACTGCAAATAATTACACTGATGGAGTTGTTCATTTTTGTCAAATTTGAGAGTAAATAATGATGGTCTACAAAGAGTGATGTCTATATTAGGAATGAAAAAACCACCAAATAAATTTTAAGGTTGACTTGATTGCATTATACTGAGTTAGATGCTTGAACATTAGTATAGCTACTGTTCTTTCATGCTAGAAGAACCTAAATTTTTAACTCCCTGTCTTTTTCTATTAAGGAAAAATTACATTATTGTGGTCTTAATTATTCGTGTGACCAATAAACACATGAGGAGATGTCCAATTTTACTAATAATCAAAGAAATATAAATTAAAATAACAGTCACTTTTTTTTCTTTCAGAATGACAAGATAATGAAAAATGATAATCCCAATATTGCCAAGGGTTTTGGGAAAATGGACACTTCTACAACTTGTGATGAGATTGTAAATTATTAAAAAAACTTTTCAGGGAAACAATTTGGCAGTATGTATCAAAAGCTTTAAAAATACACCTACTCTGACTCAGCAAATATATGTATGAGGTTGTACAAAGATTATATAGAGATGTTCATCACAGCATTATTTATAATGGTGAAGATTGGAAACAACAGTTGATCATTAAGGGATTAATTAAATAAATTTTTGGTACATTCATATAGTTGAACACTTATTAAAAGTGATAGTTTTGTACTTGTAAACATAGAAATAGATCAACAAAATACAGTTAAGCTAGGGAAAAACATATATAGTTCAGTTCAATTTTTTGTGGTAGAAACTATTGAAGTGTATATGTCTGTATTTTATAAATTCTGAAAATAGAAACCGAAGTGTTGACAGTGACAGAAGTATGAGTGAATATGTATACTTTTTAAATGACATCTTTATTGAAATATAATTTAAATAACATAAAATTCATTGGTTTTTAGTATATTCATAGGGTTGTGCAACCATCACCACAGTCAATTTTAGAACATTTTCATTGGCCCTGAAAGAAGCTCATACCCTTTAGCTGTCAACCTCCAATTCTCCTATCCCTTCACTCCCAGCTCTGGGTAACCATTAATCTACTTTTTGTCTTTATAAGTTTGCCTATTCAAGATCCATCTATGTTACTGTGTCTATCATTCTTTCTTTCTTTTTTTTTTTTTTTTTTTTGGAATAATATTTCATTGTATGAATACGCTACATTTCGTTTATCCATTTATCCCATTGATGGACATTTGGGTTGTTTCCACTTTTTGACTTATTATGAATAATGCTGCCATGAATATTCATGTACACATTTTTATGTGGACTTATGTTTTCATTACTCTTGGATATATACCTGGGAGTAGAATTTCCGGGTCATATGATGACTATGTTTAACATTTTGAAGAACTGCCAAGCTGTTTTCCAAAGTGACTGTACCATTTTACATTCCCCTCAGTAGTGTGTGAGGGTTAATGTGTTACTTATATTATCAAAAAAAGTGATTTACATTTTGAGAAAATTAATAAAGTTATTTTAACTCTGTCTAGTTTAAGATTTGTTAGTGGAAGTCGAGATGGAACCGCAAGAATTTGGCAGTATCAGCAACAAGAATGGAAGAGTATAGTGCTCGACATGGCTACTAAAATGACTGGGTAAGAATATATGTTAGATGTTTATGTGGTTCTCATGATATATTTTACATTGTGTTTAATAATGAATATAAAATATCTTTTTACATTAGTAAATAGTTTGAAGTTAATTGTAGACATGAAGTTTGCATCTGTACAGCCTCTAAGCAAATCATCTTTACTGTTGATTGACAGACTGGCTGACAGTAATATTGCTGATTCATTTGATATTCTGGTCTGTTGTGACTCAAAGATCTCTGTGTTCTACTGATGCCTATAGAGCCATTCTCTGCCTTAGATTTTTATAGGTCATTAAAAAATATATCTATATTACTTTCTACCTTGAGAGTTGTCCCTGTTAAATGTCATCATATGTTTAACTTTTTCTTTAATTTTCTAAGGATACTTTTATAATATTTTATATTGTTAGCATTCCTACTCAGTAATATATTTACACTTAATCAGCATTCAGCTTTGTCATCTTCACTGTTGATTGGAAGATACATAATTACTTCTTTGGGACACTACAGCTTCTTTAGGGTATGGCCCTGAAATCAACTGTCTTTCCATTAGCTGCAGTATAAAAATGACTTTTTCATCATAGCTACCTATTGATAATGTCATATTTAATTACATAAAAATGGTACTAAATTTTCTACTGCTTTTTATAAGACCTATGGGTTTTCTAAAAAAATTCATATTTAAGAGAATAAATTGGCCATTATGTTTTCCTATTTTCTGATAACCAACATAAGCATGAATTTTATTTTTCAAGGTATTTATAGATTTCTTAGTAGTTTCATAATTTTTGGTTCTCAAGGAACTATTTACCAAATTTTTGTCATTTTAGGGTCTTTTTTTCTTCCTGAATTAAGCTAACAGGTATTGCCCTATGCAGATACATTTACTTTTTTCTTTCATGAGTACTTAACAGTATAGTTTAGGATTTTTTAATCTAAACAGTTGTGTACTCCTGGAGAAATTATGTCATAATTTGCTACTTAACATGCACCTTTGTCCAAAATTCATAAGATATGAATACTGCAAATTGTTTTGTTTAGCAATAATTTGCCATCTGGAGAAGACAAGATCACTAAACTTAAGGTGACTATGGTGGCCTGGGATCGCTATGATACCACAGTTATTACTGCAGTGAATAATTTTCTTTTGAAAGTGTGGAATTCTATCACAGGACAGCTTCTTCATACATTATCTGTAAGTATTTTATTTTTAGAGTAATTAAAATGGTCAAAAAGCACATTATTTTAAGACACAGGAAATTTAAGTTTCCTTTCTGTGATATACTATACTAGCCCTTGGAAAAATGATTTTCTGAGAGGCCTCTTTTGACATAGCTGTAAAATAGGGATGACATGCACTATACCTGCTAAAAGCAAGTATGAAATCTTTTCAAGATCTTTTCTAAGTCTAATAGTTACTCATCTACTCTGTTATTGTATACAATGAGGACATATAAGTTATTTTGTTTTTACCAGGGGTTGGCATTTTTTCATTGTTACCGTTATAGGGGTAGAGCATACCTTACTTTGGTAAAGATATCCTACATAGTCTACCTTTAGTGATTAGTTTATGCAAGGAATAGGGGTAAGAGGAAGAAGTAGGAAAAGAAAGGTATTTTTTCCTCTTTCAGAAAGTGTATATTTGTCATTGTAAGAGGCTACAGTATTTGTGATGTAAAAAGTTGAAAGGATTAATAGCAGAAATCACATGGGTGGTGTTGATGTTTTTCAGTTTATCATAATACTGGTTGACTTCAGATTAAGTTTAATTTAAAAACCTTATTTTGTCTGTTTCAACTATCAATTCATAAGCATTTTAAGGAGAGAATGCCAAATGCTTGCCGTGCGATCACTCGTTAGTAGGTGATAAGGTTCAGACTAGAAACCAATTCTTCCGACTCAACTCAGTTGTCTTTGTAGTATATCATGGTGTTTATGTATCAGAGGGATGTAAAGTTCTTCTATTTTGCAAATGCTGTTTGAGCATCAGCTGTGTGCCAAAAGTGGATTAGGTGTTAGATATAAATGGTAAATTAGACAGAGTCTTGTCATGCCAGAGCTTATAGCCTATTATGGGAAATACTTTTGATCAGATAAGTGCTAAGAAAGAAAAATGAGAGATAGAATGCAAACTTCTAACAGGGTAACCAAATTTGATATGGGAGGCTTAGAGAAAACTTCCTGAGGAAGTGTAGTTTGGGTTAAGTTTTGAAAGATAAGTAAGAATTACCCAAATCTCAACTTAAGTGTCAACTCCTTGATTAGGCCTTCCCTGATCAAACAATCCAAGATAACCTCCTCGTCTTTGTCTTATTATGTCACCTTGCTTTACTTTTACTAGGTTCATCACTATCTTGATATTTTATTGTTATGTTTTCTTATTTATTTACTGCCTCTACATGGTAGGGTATCAGTAAATATTTGGTAAATCAAATATGTGAGGAGACTGGGGCGTGTTTCTAGAAAGAGGGAATGGCGTGTGCAAAGGTCCTGAGGTAGATAGGAGCTGAAAGAAAGCCAATTTAGCTATATCACAGAGAGCAGAAACAGAGTCTCCCCAGATACAATGGGAAAAGTGGACAGGGGCCAGACTAGGATTTTGTAGGATCTATTGTAAGACCAATAGAAAATCATTAAGGGTTTTGCTTTTGAAAAAATACCTTTTAATTCTGGTCACAGAAGAGGGAATAGATTGGAATGAGTTGAGAGTGACTGCAGGTAGATTATAGGAGTCTGATATAGCCAGAATGAGCCAGGATGATAATTTAGATTTGTGTAGGGGTGGTGGAAATAAAAGTGTGCTTACCGAATACAAATATGGCATTTTAAGATGATAAATTGATAAATTTTAAGAGATTACTTATTTTGACTAGATCTTGTTCCCCATGATCTAGTAACTATGTCCTCTCCTAAGGCATGTGACCCAAAAAAAGGAAAATCCCCAGCTTCAAAGTTCTTTTTTTTCCCCCTAATGTACATTGAAGTAGTCATGTCATTATCATTAGAGTTTAGCAAACTAACTTTATTTTTTAATGGGTACGAACCTGAGAAAATATTGGCTATATCAAATTGATTCTTTTAGCAAGAGATTTTGTTATAGCAAAGAAATAACTTTTTCTGTAGTCACTGGGAAGAATTTTGGTAAACTTTGAGTTGTGATGGTATTTATCATAAGGGGATTTTTCCTACTAATCTTATCACTACGTTTTGAGCCAGTCTAAAGTTATATTTTCTTTCAGTAAGCTGTATTTTTGTCCATAATCATAATATGGTAGGATACTCTATTATTCTACTTTTTTTAATAGCATGATTTGGGACAAAATGCATTTTTGAGATTTGCAGGATATGATCATTTTTTAGACGCTACTGATGTATAATGTGATAGTGTGTTCCTAAGATAAGTGCAGCTTCGGAATGTTCTCTATGCTTTTCTAAGGCTTGGAGCCTGTTCTTAAACATATACTCTCTAGTCAGGAGTTAAGTCCAAAGAAAATGAACAATGATCTTAAAGCAGATGCTTGTAAACTTTTCCTTTACGAGGCATATAAACATATAACATATGTAAACTTGTTATATGTTATATAAACATATAACATATGTAAACATGTTATATGTTGTATAAATATATAACATAAAGCATTGGTTTTCAAACTTACTTCTTTTTAGCAGAAAATGTATTTTCTAGATAACATCTTAAATGGAACTCCCAAATGTAAAGTAGATGTAGAGCAGAACCACTGTGCTTTATCCTTTGAATGTATCATGAGGCCTACTAAAATACAATTTGAATACCAGTAATAGAGAATAGAGTGCTGAATTGTATTGATCATTGTGTCAGAATTGGGTGTTATTGAAAGATTCTGTTTGTCATATATTCTGTGGCCTTTTAAATAGCCCAGTCCTAAATTCCACTTCAGAGCCTTGGTTAATGAGCTGTATTGTTTAGACTATATTTTAAAAACATTTCTGGATCTTCTGTTTATTGAATACTTGATAAAATCAGCAGTTTATAAGGAAATCTCACTGAGGTATATTGTTCATATAGTATCCACATAGTAAATGCTGTTTATTATTCTGCATAAATCCATTTGAACCAGACTGATAGCACACTGAAGACCTTTTTACCAAATGAACAAGACATTTTGTGTTGCTTTTCATTTTTAATACTGATTTTTATTATAGGGACATGATGACGAAGTATTCGTTCTGGAAGCCCATCCATTTGATCAAAGGATTATACTTTCAGCAGGTCATGATGGGAACATTTTCATTTGGGACCTTGACCGGGGGACCAAAATTCGGAATTACTTTAACATGGTAAGAGACACCTGTGTCTAGTTCACATTAAAACCAACTTCTCTTATATAATAACTTGGTTAATTAAAGTATACCTAGTACAAAGGAACCTCTTGTCATTTGTGTTTAAATTGGTTAAATAATTCAGAGAATAACTCAAGAACTGAGAATAAGGCCAGTTGAGCCTTTCAAGATGTTAGCATTTTCTTAGGTGTTAGCATTTTCCAAATTCTGTTCCCCAGCCCTAAACTACAGATACTCAAATGTATTAAGCTTTGGAGTTAACACCTAACCAAAATCACAAAAAGATTGATGTTTAAAATGTAATTCTCATTTATGAATTATAACAGTGACTGTAATACTTGTGTCTGCCCCTGGTAAACCTCATATGATTTAGTAATCAGAAAGTTGTTTGGCAAACATGGACTTGGAGATATGGATGCTCTTAAGATATGTCTCATACAAGCCATGGAAAAATCTGGTGAGCTATCTCTCCTCTCAGAACACCCTTCTATGGTGATGGGAATACTCATATCCTCTTAAGAATAATTCTGACTAAACATTTCTAAATTGTTGGTTGGCCTTTGAGTTTACTTTTATATGCTTTATATAGACCCAAAGCAAAGACAGATCCTCTGTCTTTTATTAGTAAAATTGATTGTGTGCTTTAATTTTAGGATGGTTATTTTAAGGCTTCATTGCATTATAACTTAAGATGTGAAGATAGTATCTTGACTTTGCTGAGGTAGTGCCTTTGTCATTTTGGTTGCATTTAGTTCTATTTTAATCTTCACAGTCACTCATTTAGTATTTCATGAGGTATGTCATTGCTAGCAATGATTGATTTTATCCATTGCAATTTGCCTCTCCCTAATTTCTTTCAGGGATTTACTGTTTCAGTAGGGTTCTGGCTACAGAAGCCAGAGAGTACTTTGGAATGTTTGTGCATCACAGAGTCCATGGTATTAGCAAGGAAAAGTTGTCACCTATCTATTATTTGAAAATTACTCTTAAGATGACTTGAGACTCCTCTGAATTTCAGATTGAAGGCCAAGGCCATGGTGCGGTGTTTGATTGTAAATTTTCACCGGATGGAAACCATTTTGCCTGCACAGATTCTCATGGGCATTTGCTGCTTTTTGGTTTTGGATGCAGTAAATACTATGAAAAGGTTAGCATATTTTAATTTTGCTGTAGAGTATAATTTAGGATTGTGTCGTTCACAAATTTTGTTTAAAGTCCTCCAGTTAATAAGGGCTGTTATGTGTCAGTAGATATAAAATAAAAGAAAGTTGTCTTTCTTAGTAAAGGTTCTCAGTTGTGATCTGCACTGCCAGAACATTATGTTTGGTTGTGCAGATCACGATTGAGATAAATTACAGGGTGATGAAGACATAAAAATTCCTTAGGAAATCCTTTTGCTTTGAACATATTCTCTACTGCCTTCCAGGTATAATAGGAGAGTAATTCTAATACATCACATCTTCTACTTCTCATGAATTGGGAATAGACTGCTGGCGACTGAATATGTCTATTTCTTAGGTGGCTATTTTACTTATTATTGATCCTGTTAAAATACTTTGGGAGCTAACTTAATTGGTTCTTTATGTTTTGTTAGCTGTGAATTTGAGAAAGTTTATAGAATTGTAGAGTTGGAAGAGAACTCAATCATTGAGGTCAGCTCAATAATTGTATTAATATCAGGTTTGAGTGTGTTTGATGTGATTGATATTTACCTGTTTTATTATATGTATTATACTGCATCTGTCTTCATTTGAATAAAAATAAGCAAGAAAAACATAATTATATAGGTTTGTGTAATTTTTACAACTTAAATACAAATGCCCAACTATATCTACTGGGTTGTTGCTTTAGTTCTTCTTATCATAATAGAAGAAATATGATATGTCTAAAAATTAATACAGATTATAGGATTTTGTGGAGAAAAGAGAATTACCATCTAGGTAATTCAATTCTATTCTACCTAAAGGGAGAATATAGGGCAACAAAGGACTATAAGAGTATGCAAAAAATTATCTGATTTAAAAAATGAGTGTGCTCTAAGAATGAAAACAAGTATTTACTTATAAATTCCCTGTGTATGTTAACCCACTAAAAATCTGTCATAAAGATTCCAGATCAGATGTTCTTCCACACGGATTATCGTCCTCTTATTCGTGATGCCAATAACTATGTATTGGATGAACAAACCCAACAAGCTCCTCACCTCATGCCTCCTCCATTTTTGGTGGATGTTGATGGAAATCCTCATCCCACAAAATTCCAACGGTTGGTACCAGGACGGGAAAATTGTAAAGATGAACAGCTTATACCACAGCTGGGATATGTGGCTAATGGTATGTTTCCTCTAAAAGTAAATTTCAAACATTTTGCACAATATTATACATTACTGCTGTATTCTCTATGATGTATGCCTCCTGCTAAACTCTGGAGTAGGTTATAATATGTTTCATCTTCTGTTACTGTTAATTTTCAGTTGTATAGTACTTTTAACCATAGCATAGTACTTTTTCATTGTTTATCTCACCTGGACACAGATAAGTGGGTTAGGACAAACATAAGCATATATGCTCAAGCAGATAATGTATTGACCTATTTCTTTAGAAAACCTTATATATGTGTGAACCTGTTGTTTTCTATAGTATTGAGTTGTAGTAAAAGCTTTTGTAACTGGTGGAATTCCACTGCTTATAGTATTGATATTTTAGTTTGAGAGTTCATAGTTAATTAAACTAAGAAGGTGAAACTTTGAAAAACCACAGACTGGCCAGGAGTGGTGGCTCACGCCTGTAATACCAGCACTTTTGGAGGCCGAGGTGGGTGGATTACTTGAGGTTAGGCATCCGAGACCAGCCTGGCCAACGTGGTGAAACCCCGTCTCTACTAAAAATGCAAAAATTAGCTGGGGGTGATGGTGCCCGGCTGTAATCCCGACTACTTGGGTGGCTGAGGCACAAGAACCACTTGAACCCAGGAGGCAGAGGTTGCGGTGAGCCAAGATTGTGCCACTGCACTCCAGACTGGGCGACAGAGTCAGACTGTCTCAATAAAAAGGAAACAACCCCTACCCCGCAGCTGGAGGTAGCTATTTACCTATTCTCATGTTTGAAATGCAAAGAGTTATTGGGTGTAGAGTAAGCGGATGTGACTATTTAAATAACACTCGGTCTTGGGAGATATTGGGAAAGCAGAGATGAATGTGATATATGATGGGAAGATAGGAGAATAAAACATTGGAATAAGCTATTTTCTATCAAAGAAACTTACTCTCTTCTGGTTAGCATATTTCCATTATTTATTCTGCCCTCTACCCCCACATAAAATGCCTTCATATCTTACTTTGGTACTTGTAGGTTGTCTTCAGGTATGAGCTAGTAAGTTACTGATTTGCATGTAGAATTTTGTATCTTTGCTAGGGAATTAAGGCTTGAACTGACCCTCATAGAATGAAATGCTGCACATCTTTTTATGTTCTTGCTCATAAAGGTTGTAGAGCAGGGAAATGGTATTACTCATGTGCCTGTAGTTACTGTGATGACATATTTATTAGCCAAGGAGAAAAGGTGTGAATATTAATTAAATGGGAGATAAACTTGAAAACAAAGGAATAAGAAAGTCTAATTTATCAGACTTTATTTCTTGTATATTTCTTGTAAGATCTGATCACTTGGTTACTCTGTCAAATCTGACTAGAGGACAAGATGAAAACCAGGGCAATGATATACTTAAGAAAGAAAAAGATTTAACATTTTCATTCAGAAATAATCATTAAGTTTCAGTGTATATAAAAAATAATTTTGTACTCATTAAAACACTAAAATGTTATCAAAAGACAATAATAGTTCAAAGATCATCATTTTGACTTCTTTCAAAAAGGAAATTTTCACAAAGAAGGATGCAAAGCATTTTAGGTATCTGTGGTTAAACTTGTTTAATTAAACCTTACTCAAAACTCTTATGGCATAGCTAGTTGCTGTTAGGCAGCAAACCTATACAGCATTTAACTGCACTGAATACCATAGACAGTTATAAATACAATGGTACATATTTATCTAAGCATATCTAGACAGAAAAGGTACAGTAAAAATATGGTATAAAAGATAAAGAATGGTATACCTGTGTAAAGCACTTACCATGGAATGGAGCTTACAAGACTGCAAATGCTGTGGGTAATTCAGTGAGTGAGTGATTGAATGTGAAGACCTAGAACATTACTATACAATAGTGTACACTTTATCAACACTGTACACTTAGGCTATGCTAAATGTGTATAAACAATATTTTTCTTTCCTCAGTAACAAATTAACCTTAGCTTACTGGAAACACTTTTTAGGTTTTTTGTTTTGTTTTTTTAACTTTTCGACTCTTTTGTAATAATACTTAGCTTAAAACACAAATACTTTGTACAATCGTATAAAAATATTTTTTATATCCTTATTCTATAAGGTTTTTCTATTTTTAAAATTTTTATTGTTTTACTTTTTAAACTTTTTAAAAGTTAAGACACAAACACACATTAGCCTAGGTCTACACAGAGTCAAGATTATCAATATCCCTGTCTTCTACCTCCACATCTTGCTTGTCCCCCTGGAAGGTCTTCAGGGGCAATATGGAGCTGTCATCTCTTATGATAACAATACCCTTTTCTGGAATACCTCCTGGAGGACCTTCTTGAGGCCGTTTTACAGTGCAATTTTTTTTAGTAATTAAAAGTAGTACATTTCAAGATGATACTAAGTATGGTATAGTGCATACATAAAACAGTAATATAGTCATTTACTACCAAATATTATGTACTGTACATAATTGTGTGTGCTATGCTTTTATATAACTGGCAGTGCAGTAGGTTTGTTTATCCCAACATCACCACAAACATGTGAGTACTGCATTGCACTTTGAGGCTATGATGTCACTAAACAAGAGTTTTTCAGCTTCATTATGATCTCGTGAGACTACCATTGTATATGTGGTTTATCTTTGACTGAAATGTTGTTATGCAGCACTTGATTGTATTTTTAAAGATGAGAAGGCCCTCATAATAATGTCTAATTTGGGAGCATTGGTTAAGTCAGACACATAAGCTAGTACATCAAAAATATTTAAAGTTTTTAATAAAATGTTTCATTTGATATATACTTTATTTTACATTTAATCCTGTTTTTAATCATTTGTGTAGAAATTTATAGGTTGGTTTTACTATGTTTAAGGTATACTAAAATGTAAGTAATTTTGAGCCTTTGTATCTGGTCTTATTAAGGTGATGGTGAGGTAGTAGAACAGGTAATTGGGCAGCAAACCAACGACCAAGATGAGAGCATTCTTGATGGAATAATCAGGGAGCTGCAGAGAGAACAAGACTTGAGACTAATTAATGAAGGAGATGTTCCACATTTTCCAGTTAATAGAGCATACTCTGTTAATGGTGGTAAGTATTTTTATACTTGTAAAGGGTGTAGTGTATATACTGTAATTATTTTACTTTTCCCAAATAATTACATGGAAAATATTTTACCTTTATAAATAAAAACATTTTTATTAATTTGCAATTTTGATATCAGATATATCAAAGTCTCATAATCTCATCATTTGTGGGTAAAATGACTTAAGGTCTCCTGAGAAATTCAGGTGATGCATTTTAATACACTGTCTTCTTTTTACTCAGTAATTTATCTGTAATCTTTACATTTGTTTTAAGAAGTGAAGTGCTACAGTATGTCTAGCCCTCTTGTAGGGGAACCAACCTATACAGTTTTCGAAATTAAAACTACCTTAAGTTTAGAAATTACTGCCAATTCCTCTTCTGTGGAGAGGAAAGCAGAATACCATGCTCCTCTCTTGAATTAAAAAAAAAATACACTGAAGACAAGAAGCTGTCTTAGGGAATACAGATGCAGCTTCTGAATTGACTTATAATAGTTTGATCTTAATACCAGTGGAAGTTATTGTATAATTAATTATCTTAAAATGAATATTCTATCCTTAAATGATATTAAAATGATATCCTATCCTATCTTTTACATTAAACGTGCCAGGGCATCTGAGTTTTATATAAATCTTAGCTTTTATCAAGAGCTATTAGTTTTATCTTCAAATGTAGTCATCTTATGAGATTTTTTTTCAGATTTATTTCTTTTCATATATTTGTAACTAGAGTCATTTATCTGTGTAACATTGCATTTTAGATTTCATAGAAATGAATAAGGTGATTTAAATTTGTGGTGATTCACAGAGTATTTTACTAATTTCCTGATTTCTTCAATATCTCATAAAATTAAAAATATTCATTTGGGTTACTTGAACACCTAACTCAGATAAGCTTTTCTGAACCTGGAACAAGATAACAAGTGGGCTGATAATCCTATCTATCCAGGCCCTTTATTCCTGAGACGTGAAACTTTCTCAGAGCCCTGATTTAAATATCCATTAATGAAATCAGTATTCTGTTGTACCTTCAATACTAGGTTTCTGTGGACAGATTAGAAATGACATTAGTCAAGAGACCCCACTGACTTCTATTGGTAATATTCATTTGTTTTGAAATTTTTCTGACATTTAACAGTTGGATGTTTCAGTTTCCATTTGTGTTTTATTTGTAAATATAAGAAAAATAACATGAACCTTTCTGGAGTATTAAAAAATAAAACTTCTGTTACTTTCTTTCTTTCTTTGCTCATCAATCTTGAAAATGAAATTTTGATTTAAAAAAATAATTATTTATACTTTGAATCTTAACATTTTTGAAAGTTTTATTGATGCTTTATCTAGAAACACTGTAATGGAGAGAATAAAGATAGAATTTAGATCAAAAAGCTGCTTCCTGAACTAGCACTAATAAACATTTGTGAATCTCCAAATCATGTTGAATACATTTTTTTATATTCTGTGAGCATTTAGTAGATGTCAGATGTGAAACTACTTTGAAAAAAATTAAAATAATTATAGAAATTTTAAACATTTCTCAATAAAAGTGCTTGCTTTATTTATAACAATATGAAAAACATAAAGGAGGGTACAGAAAATATAGAACAAAGGGATAGCAATTCTTACAGCAGTACTATCTTTGAATCTACTCTTTTATTTAGAGCTGTGTTGTGGAAAACTGTGGTGCCTTTGCTCAGAAAGTGACAATTTTCCTTGTTTTTGTTTTAGCTCTGAGAAGTCCAAACATGGACATATCTTCTTCCCCAAACATCAGGCTTAGAAGACATAGTAGTCAAATTGAAGGTGTTAGACAAATGCATAACAATGCTCCTCGGAGCCAGATGGCCACTGAAAGAGATCTCATGGCATGGAGCAGAAGAGTGGTGGTCAATGAACTAAATAATGGGGTTAGTAGGTGAGTCAATAAGGTAACATTTAGAAGAAAATTTAAAGCTTTATTCTTAGAAAGTGAATTGAAATGTACTATGTTAGCCTAGTAAAAGAGGTATTTTAAAATATAGTTTAGTCATGCATTAGTTTTTCCATATTATTCCAATGAGTTCACTCCATAACAAATAATGATTATCTTCAGCTTTGTGCTGAATGCTTTGGGGAATATTGAAAATGCAAAACATTATCTCTGTTCTCAGTTTATAGCCTAGATTTGAAGAAAAGAATACAAGTAGTATTAAGAACTCATGAGGTCTTACGTAATTAAATATGTGAGTGATATATGGACCCTAACATTTGAGCAACCTGGGAGTACAGTTATTTGCTAGATGCTAGTGCTTAGAGTATCTTTAGAAATGTCATTTAGGTAGACTTCATTGGATGAAAGAATTTCATTAGGATTAATTTCAAACTTACAATCCCTATTCGTGTTTGTAAACCCTGAAATTTGCTGTAATAACAACTTTCAGATACTCCACAGCAACTGGAAATAGATTTAGAAAAGAGAAAGGACATTTACAGAGAATATGTACAATTCATTTTAATCAAGTATCTTCCTAACCAAGCTTTTACCAGATCAACCAACAAGTAGCAAAATTAATTTGGTTTCTCCTTTTCTTCTGCTTTCTGCTATAAGAAGGCAGCAGTAATAAGAAAAAAGAAAGACATAATTAACTTGTGTCTTTGGAGTAAATGATTATTTACTCAAAACATTGAAAGCAGAATTGAAAGCAGGGACTCAAAGACATTTGTATACCAGTGTTAAATGTGACATTATTCACAATAACCAAATGGTGGAAACAACTCAATTGTCCACCAACAGATGAACAGATAAACAAATTGTGGTATATGTACAAAATGGCATATCATTCAGCTACAGAAAAGAATGTTCTGATACCTGCTACAACATGGATAAACATGCTAAGCGAAAGAAGCCAGAGACAAAAGGACAAATATTATATGATTCCACTTATATGAAATATCTGGACTAGGCAAATTCATAGAGACATACAATAGATTAGAGGTTTTCAGGGGCTAGGAAGAAGGAGAAAATGGGGAGCTATTGCTTAATGGTCACAGAGTTTATCTTTGAAGTGATGAAAAAGTTTTGGAAATGCTGATAATGGTTGCACAACTTTCTGAATGTAATTAATGCCACTGGATTATACACCTAAAAATAGTTCAGGTGGCAAATTATATGTTTAAAAGTATTTTTGTTATCTGATTCTTAGATGATTGGTTTTCTTTTTGATGATTTTCTGTTACTTTGACCTTTGACTTGTTATTAGGGTACAGGAAGAATGTCGAACTGCAAAAGGTGACATAGAAATCAGTCTTTATACAGTTGAAAAGAAGAAAAAACCATCTTATACTACTCAAAGGGTAAGTATAGTTTTACAATACTTTGGGATACACTATTTGCAAATATTTGTAGATAATAGGCTTTTGAGAGGCAGCAGTTATGTATTAAGAGACTATTTTAGTAGGTATCTGCCTATAAGGCACCTACTTTTTGAGCCACAAATTGAGATATATGATTATTATTAATAAGAATAAAGTTATAAGTCCAGAGTGTCCCCCCAAATCTAGGACATGTGGTCATTGTAAGGATAAGATACTTGTATTAAAATAATCATTTTTATATGGTCAAAGTGGAACCTTAAATATATTATCAGATCACTAATTAGAATGTAAAACAAATGATCCAGATATCCTAGGCCAGAGATTGACAAACTATAGCCCATGGGCCAAATCAGTTCTGCTACCTATTTCTGTTAACTTTTATGGGAACACAGCCACGTTCACTTACTTATATCTTGTATATGATTGCTTTCAGGCTGTAAGACAGAATTGAATAGTTGTAACAGAGATTGTATGACTTGCAAAGCCAAAAAATATTTACACTTTGGTCCTTTGCAGAAAAAGTTTGCTGATCCCTACCCTAGACCCATTCCTGGCTTACCAAATCATTTAGGAGCAAAACATGATCTGTATATTGTGATGTACTATAGAAAGAAACTGCTAAGCAGAATACTCTCAGGTACACCAAATGTATAATTTTGTTCCCAAATTTAACCATAGTTTCTGTAGAGTGTGGTAATTTGAAGAGTCTAGGATGATTTTGATGTTGTTAAACAAATCTAGGTAATGGACCCCGATTTTGAATTTTTTTTTCCATAATTGATAAATAGAAATTTAGATAAATATGAAATGGGTATCTTCAAATATTAGATCATTTTGATGTTTGCTTTCTTAACTCTTAACTTTTATTGTTAAGAAATTAACTTTATTTTGTTAGTTTTTTTTTTTTTTAAGAGATTTTTGAATGACTCAGAACAGTGATTTTTATTCTTTTTTCCTACTAAGCTGATTTTATCAAACATCAGACTTGACTGAGACTAATGGACAGGGTACTTAGGTCTGTAGATATTTTTGCTTATGTTGAAAATGTGAAACATTTACATACACTTTTAAACTTGTTGGTTCCTAATTACATTCTAGGATTGCAGCTTAGCTAAATGGAATGTCAATAGTAATGTTTTGTATTTGTAAAGGTTAGAATAAAATAGTTTTCACTTCAAATTTTAGTTGTTAAAAATTAAATCTCTATTTTGACCTTTTTACTAAATGAATATACTGCTAATTCTTGTTATAACTACAAGTAAGTTATCCATAGTAACTCAATTTCTTTTCTTCTATATTGTCCACAAATAGTAGAAATAATCCTCAATGGGATATAAGGGATTAAGCATGGCATGAATTTCTGTGCGTCTGTGTGCCTTCGATGAAGAATCAAATTCTAAAATATTTGAAGAGATTTATTCCGAGCCCAAAATGAGTGACCAGTGAGTGGTCTGTGGCACAGCCCTTAAGAGATCCTGAGACTCTGTGCCCGAGATGGTTGGGCTACAACTTGGTTGTATGCATTTTAGGGAGACATAAGACATCAATCAATAGATGTAAAATGTATATTGGTTTGGTGCAGAAAAGCAGGACAACTGGAAGGTGGGTAGTGGGCTTCCAGGTCAGTTTCCAATTCAAGATTTTCTGACTGGAAATTGGTTGAAAGAGTTTTTATCTAAAGACCTGGAATGAATAGAAGGGAATGTCTGGATTAAGATAAGGGTTTAGATAGCTGGGCATGGTGGTGCATGCCTGTAATCCCAGCTACTGGCAGGCTGAGGCGGGAGGCTGAGGCAGGAGAATTGCTTGAACCTGGGAGGCGGAGGTTGCAGTGAGCTGAGATCGCGCCATTGCACTCTAGCCTGGGCAACTAGAGTGAAACTCTGTCTCAAAAAAAAAAAAAAAAAAAAAAAAAAAATGACGGTTTGTGAAGACCAAGATTCTTTATTATGCATATGAAGCCTCCAGGTAGCAAACTTCAGAGAAAATAGTTGTAAATGTTTATTATCAGACTTAAGAAGATGCCAGACTCTTACTTGATTCTCTCTTGAAGGGGATCCTCTGCACAATGTAGGTTTTCCCCCACAAGAGACAGCTTTGCAGGGCTATTTCAAGATATGGCGAAGAAACATTTGGGGTTAAAATACTCTGATTCCCCTCCTTATCTGTCATGTGATGTTATGCCAAAGTGAGGTTGGAAAAGTAAAGCCATGTTATATAGAGTTAAATAAAACCACTCTGATGGGACTCTATGGTTTGTAAGGCATGACTCTCCAGATGCTTGAGATAGGAATTGGAGCAAGAGAAGAAAAAAGGAACAGAGTTTAGATTTCAGTTCCGAAAATTAAATTGTTACTTTTTGTATGTAGATTGTTTTGAGTCCTTTCCCTTCTGTTGTTAGAAGTAATCTAAGATTTATTATTTCATTTTTATTTTAAACAACTCTCTCCTGGACCTAGTTTTGTATTTCAGAGGTGGGGAGTTGGAGATTGGACTAAATTTATTCTAAAGATACTTTTTAACTCTTAAGAATCTTAAGAATGCTGTTGATGAAAGAATCAAACTCTGTAAAATATTTGAAGAGATTTGTTCTGAGCCATATATGAGTGACCAGTGACTGGTCTCAAGAAGTAGTCCTGAGAACATATGCTTAAGATGGCCAGGCTACTGGTTGGATTTGTACAATTTAGGGAGACAAGACATCTATCAGTACATGTAAGACAGTACATTGGTTTGGTGCAGAAAGGCAGGACAACTCAGGGGGGTGTGGCAGAGGAGGTTCCAGGTCATAGATAGATTCTAAAATTTTCTAATTAGCAATTAGTTGAAAGAGTTAAGTTATTGTCTAAAGACCTAGAATCAATGGAAGGAAATGTCTGGGTTAAGATAAGGAGTTTTAGAGACCGAGATTCTCATTACACAGAAGAAGCCTCTAGGTAGTTTTTCCACAGAGAGTAGATAGCAAATGTTTCTTTTCAGACTTAAATAAAAGTGCCAGACTCTTGGTTGATTCTCTCCTGGATCAGGAAAAAGGCCTGGAAAGAGAACGGGATTCTCTACAGAATGTTGATTTTAAGACAGCTTTACCGGGCTATTTCAAGAAATGACAAAGAAACATATTTGCGGTTAAAATATTTTGATTTCTTTCTTTCTCTGTTGTATGATGTTATGCCAGAGTCAGACTGGAAAGTTAAAACATATTATATAGGGTTAAGTAAAACCCCTCTGATGCGACTTCGTGGTTTGTAAAGCGTGGAACCTCCCCTCCCATGCCCACCCCCGCAGAAGGCCTCTTAGATATTCTAGATCTTTAGAATATCTAGAATAAAAAGTATCTAAGAGGCCACCCCCGCAGAAGGCCTCTTAGATAGAAATTTGGGCAAGAGAAATAAAAGATCAGAGTTTAGTCTTCAATGTTAATCTAGAATGAACAAAAGTGTAGATTATTAAATCCACTTATATATCTTAGCACTTTAAAAAAGTTTTCTAGATTTTTGAATAACTAAATAAATACATATTATATATACACAAATGTGACTGAAATGTCTTGCTTCTTCCTATAATAATTCTGAATAATGTGGCATATGTAAATTATGAATGGGCAAATTCTTGCAACCCAGACATTTCTTTTTTTTTTTTTCAGGAAGTGAAACAATTTTATTTTACAGTTGGCTTTAAAATCACAGACACTTACTTTTTTCATATAAAAACATGAGTACAGATACCTGTACTTTCTAGAAAATGATTATATAGACATCTCAAAGAAAAATGTACACCATTATATGGTTTTAGTGAGGTTGCTTAGAAAAAGCTCAAATCTGGACTGATACTTAAAACATACCATTCCACTACCATTCTACTAATGATTAGTATCATCAGTATGTCTTCCAGCATTATTACGTATTTGATAATACATACATAGGCTGGCTTATCACTTAATGTTCCATTGGTTCATCAGCCTTTTCTGCTGGTTCATCAGCAGGTTGAGCAGGCTGTGCCAGCTGGCTTGTCACTCAATGTTGCATTGGTTCTTCAGCCTTTTCTGCTGGTTCATCAGCAGGCTGAGCAGGCTGTGCCTTTCTCTGTGGCCTTTCTTCAAGACCTTCCAGGAATGGAGACACATCATCATCATCATCATCATCATCATCATCATCATCATACATTGTAAACTCCAAATTTTTACCAGCATTTCCAATGGGAACGTTTTTGTAGTTATGTCCTGTTCTGCAGGAATTGTCTGTCTTAAGGCATGCAGACCATGTTTAACCAGTTCATTTGAATTGTATTCCATAAATTTGCACATATGTCTCTCCAAGTAAGTACAAGCTGACTGAGAACGGGTCCCAATGGACATAGCTCTGTAGTCAAAATAGTCAGCAGATGGCCAAGTTTGGAAAATGCGAGGCCCATATCAACATACCCAGCAATAAGTGGCCCAACACCATATGGTCTCCAGCCGTATTGTTGTGTTCATATTTGGGTCTTGCTTCCAATTAGAGATATAAGAGAAGACACAGGAAGTGGTCTATCGGATACAAATCTGGAATCGAAACACTCCTGGCACATAAAATTACATAACAGTCTACCATCATCAGTAAGCCCTGCAGTTGAGATACTGATATGGTTGTCAATATGGAGAATATTTTCTGATGAGCTGCAAGCTCCGATGGTGCCCTTTTCAATGCAATCAATAGTGCATGGGTTTTTTATTTCAGACCAACTGTGGCTGAACCTTGTTTAACAGCTTCCATTGCATGGTCAGTTTGATGAATCCTGCTCCAGACAATGATATCATTGTCATACTGGTTTCCAAACGTGGTTCCGGCACAGGTCTGGTTGCAGCCTCTGGCAAAACTGAGGATCAAGGAGTTGCTGCCTAAACTATCACTCTGCAGTGTACAGAGAAGTCTGTGGAACTTTGCAACCCAGACTTTTCAGCACTGTCTTTAATTTTATCACAAGGTTTACAAAATAGGAGAGTGATCAATATTTAGTGGAAAGTGGGTTAAATATGTATAAATATAGTTATATGTTGGCTTTCTTTGGGGGAACTTATTCTCATCTCCTACTCACCCCTACCCCCCACCTAATTTCCTTTATATATGTTCCTTGTGTGTTTACTGAGATTTTCCTTTTTTAAAATTTATTATTATTCTCTTTTACAGAATGATTATGAGCCTAGCTGTGGGCGTTCTTTACGAAGGACACAGCGCAAACGTCAACATACTTACCAAACACGGTCCAACATAGAGCATAATTCACAACCTTCCTGTCAAAATTCAGGTGTACAGGAAGACTCAGACAGCTCCTCAGAGGTTAGATATATACTATTATTTATTTGATGTAGTTTTTTGTTTCCCAGTTCGTACCATCCATTTGGGTTTAAGGGTCACTTCTTTAATAGAAAATTATTTTAATTATATTCTTGTAAGAGATTTGTTCATTAATAATACATTTAGTAGGTATATTTGGGCATATTTAATTCCTTTAGGTGTCTTCTTGGATTTGTACCTCAGATGCTGTCTTTGTGAGGGTATCAAATATGCCAGCAAGAGTTTGCCTTTGACACAGTGAAAAAAAGAGTTTAAGAGGAAATCAGCCTAGAAATGGAAAGGAGCGAAATATAAAGAACTTTAATAAGTTCCACAGTTTCAGAACTGTTTGGCTATCTAATCAACATAATACACACATTTTTTGTTATTATTGACTTCACCTCTCATGGAGATCATTGAGTGTTGATTTTTCTCAGATCTACCTTTTTCATGGTAATGAGTAAAGAGTGTAGCTTCTTTTCATCTTGTTCTTCTGTTCTCCAGTCTTTTTGTTCTCTTAACAGCTTTCATTGTTAAATGCATAATGAAGGTTTAATCATGCATTGACAATATATGGTACTCTCATTCTCGTGCCATTCCCAATTCTTTTTCTTTTTTTTTTTTGAGATGGAGTCTTGCTCTGTCCCCAGGCCGGAGTGCAGTGACACGTACTTGGCTCACTGCAACCTCTGTCTCCCAAGTTCAAGAGATTCTCCTGCCTCGGCCTCCCCGGTAGCTGGGATTACAGGCATGCGCCACCATGCATGGCTAATTTTTGTATTTTTAGTAGAGCCAGGGTTTCACCCTGTTGGCCAGGCTGATCTTGAACTCCTGACTTCAGGTCATCTGCCCGCCTCGGCCTCCCAAAGTGCTAGGATTACAGGCATGAGCCACTGCACCTGGCCCCATTCACAGTTCTTAAACTGTTATCAAAGATGTCCTCCATTCATGCCCTACCCCCACCCATATGAAATCTTGATCTTAAAAGAATGATCACTGTTCAGGAACTGATGCTCCCCCCACCCTTTTAAAAAAAAGACAAAAACAAACAAACAAGCAGAAGACAGAGTCTTGTTCTGTTGCCCAGGCTGGAGTGCAGTGGCTCAATCTCAGCTGACTGCAGCCCCCACCTCCCAGGTTCAAGCAATCCTCCTGTCTCGTCCTCCGAAGTATCTAGGACTACAGGTGCATGCCACCATGCCCTGCTAATTTTTGTATTTTTAGTAGAGACAGGGTTTCACCTTGTTGGTCAGACTGGTCTCGAACTCCTGACCTCAGGTGATCTGCCTGCCTTGGCCTTCCAAAGTGCTGGGACTACAGGGATGAGCCACTGTGCCTGGCCTGATGCTCCCTTTTAAATGTAATGTGATAACAGCATTATGGTTGTACTTCTAAAACAAATCCTAATCTTAATACATATTTATGGTTAAAATGGTTTTTTTTGGTTGATGTGCATCAAACTAATGCTAAGAGTATAAGGCAGTGGGTGAGGGTATAGATAAAATAGGAAGTTAATTATTGTCTAAACTGGAGATTGTGTACACGGGTTATCTGTTCTCTCTACTGTATTTAAAATTTTACATAAAAAATATAATTAAAATTTTTAGTGGAGAGTAATTATATTAACTTGATAGAGACATATAGGCATTTTTAAAACAATGTTTCTAATGTATTTAAGAGGGTTATATTTGGACTTAAAAAATCTATTGAGTCTTTGAAATCATAAAAAGATGTTTTATATCAATAAGATAATGATGCCAGAAATTTAGAAATACCTAGTAGACTTAGTTGTGAGTTACAGATATACTTAGAACAATAATTATGTGCATTTTAAGGAGAGTATTTTTTGAGGGCAGAATTCAAAAAATGCTGTAAAATAGGTAGTGGTTTTTTAACTAGAAATACATTAGGTGGTAATATCCATATATCTTAATTGCTGGCTCTTTGTTGTAGGAAGACGAAACTGTTGGCACAAGTGATGCTTCAGTAGAGGATCCTGTTGTTGAATGGCAAAGTGAAAGTTCTTCCAGGTAGTTTTAATGATTTCAGTTTGGTCGAATTTATTGAACAGTTTTAATATGAAATTATGTTCTTATAGGAAATTGGTAAAATCAGAATTAAAATAGTGTTTTATAGTAGAAAAGGTACTGGCTGGAAGCCGAGAGACCTGATGTGATCTTGGCTCTCCCAATATCTTTCTGACGTCACTGTGGGCCTTTTAGTTTCTTCATCTACAAAATAAGATTCTTTTTAAATCCAAGATTCTACATCTTGGCAATCATATTCACCCTCTGCATAATGATCTTTCAGTCAATGACGGAGTGCATATGGCGATGGTCCCATAATGAAGCTGAAAAATTCCTGTCACCTAGTGACATCATACCCATTGTAACACTGTAGCACAAAGCATTATTCACGTGTTTGTGGGGATGCTGGTGTAAGTTAACTTGCTGAACTGTCAGTCATACAAAAGTTTAGCATATACAGTTATGTACAGTATATAGTACTTAATAAACAACTATGTTACTGGTTTATTTACTATGCTATACTTATATATTATTATGTTTTCTTCATTTCATTTTCGATTCTTTTAGAGATGGTGTCTTGCTATGTTGCCCAGGCACGCCTTGAACTCCTGGGCTCCAGCAGTCCTCCCACCTCAGGCTCAGCCTCCTGAGTAGCAGGGTGTACAGATGCACACCAATATGCTCAGTTTATGCTATACTTTTTGTTGTTATTTTAGAATGTACTTGTCGTACTTGTAATAAATTATTAACTGTAAAATATCCTCAGTCAGGTCCTCCAAGAGATATTCCAGAAGAAGGCATTATTATCATTGGAGATAAAAGCTCCATGTGTTTTTGTCCTTGAATACCTTCCAGTGGAACAGGAAAAGATGTGGAGGTGGAAGACAGTGATATTGATGATCCTGACCCTCTGTAGGCTTAGGCTAATGTTTGTGTCTTAGTTTTTAAATAAAGTTTTAAAATAAAATTGAAAAAAATTAAACCTTAAAAATAGAAAAAAACCTTATAGAGTAAGGAGATAAAGAAAAACTTTGCTGAGCGTGGTGGCTCACTTCTGTAATCCCAGCACTTTTGGAGGCTGAGGCGGGAGGATCACTTGAGGTCAGGTGTTCGAGACCAGCCTGGCCAACATGGTAAAACCCCATCTCTACTAAAAATACAAAAATTATCCAGACGAGGTGGCGGAGGCCTGTAATCCCAGTTACTCAGGAGGCTGAGGCAGGATAATTGCTTGAACTCGCAAGGTGGAGATTGCAGTGAGCCGAGATTGTGCCATTGCACTCCAGCCTGTGCGACAAGAGCGAAACTGTCTCAAGAAAAAAAAAAAAAAAAAATACGGCTGTACAATGTGTTTTAAGCTAAGCGTTATTACAAAACAGTCAAAAAGTTTAAAAAAAGCTAAAAAGTATAAAGTAAAAATGTTACAGTAAGCTAAGATTAATTTCTTATTGAAGAAATAAAATTTTTTAAAATAAATTTAGTGTAACCTAAGTGTAGTGTTTGTAAAGTCTTCAATAGTGTACAGTCATTTTCTAGGTCTTCACATTCACTCACCATCACTCACTGACTCACCACCAGCAACTTTCAGTTCTATAAACTCCATTCATGTTAAGTGCCCTATGTAGGTATACATTTTTAAAAATCTTTTACACCACATTTTTACTGTACCTTTTCTATGTGTAGATATACACTTAGTATTGTGTAGATATATACTTAGCATTGTGTTAAAATTGCCAACTGTATTCAGTACAGTCACATGCTGTACAAATTTGTAGCCTTGGAGTGATAGGCTCTACTATATAGCATAGCTGTGTAGTAGGCTCTACTGTCTAGGTTTGTGTAAGTATACTCTGTATGATGTTCACACAATGACAAAATCACCTCATGATGCATTTCTCTGAAAGTATCGCCTTTGTTAAGTGACACATGACTGTATATGACTGTATATGTATTTATTTCAGTTTTAAAATAATCCCATTTCAACATTTCCAAGAATAAGATGCTTTTTTATTTTGAAGAAGCTTTTGTGATTTTGGACGGGATTTTAATTCCTTCTTGGATTTAATGAAATCCAAGAAGGATTTCATTAAAATTACTAAGATAATGATTGAAATTCTATATTGATTTTCTTTTTTTTTTTTTTTTTTTTTTTGAGATGGAGTCTCACGGTCACCCAGGCTGGAGTGCAATGGTGCGGTCTTGGCTCACTGCAATCTCCGCCTCTTGGATTCCAGTGATTCTCCCCTCTCAGCCTCCCAAGTAGCTGGGACTACAGGCGTATACCACCACACCCGGCTAATTTTTGTATTTTTAGTAGAGACAGGGTTTTGCCATGTTGGCCAGGCTGCTCTCGAACTCCTGATCTCGTGATCCACCCACCTCGGCCTCCCAAAGTGCTGGGATTACAGGTGTGAGCCACCGCGCCTGGCTGATATTTTTTCTCTTAAGTTAGAACAAAATCCAGCCATGTCATTTATAATGCTGTTTGATTACAGAATGATCTTTCAATTATTAAGTAAAACTACTCCTTTTCTGTACTTAGGTATCCATAATTTTGATTTATTTACAGTGATTCATCAAGTGAATATTCTGATTGGACAGCAGATGCTGGAATAAATTTACAACCCCCAAAAAGACAAACCAGACAGACAACACGGAAAATATGCAGCAGCTCTGATGAGGAAAATTTGAAGTCCCTAGAAGAAAGGCAAAAGAAACCTAAGCAGACTAGAAAGAAGGTTTGTAACTTTATGAGTTATTTTGTTTTTGTTATTTTTTGTTTTTTTGCCTTTGATACTTAAATATTTAATAGTAACGTTGACTTTTCTCTAAAAATAACATTTCATCTGAGAAAGTAAGTAAAAGTAGTTTCACTTCAAAATGTAAAGAATTTTTGAAATTTTTCTGTTACCAAAGGTAGAGGCTAGAATGTTTCATTACAATTTGTTATTCAAACATATTCACAATCATTTGTTAAAATGTGGCAATGTCCTAAAATAAACTACTGTCTCACAAAATTATTATTCTTGTCACCTTTATCTGACAACATTTCTTATCTGACAACATTATTATTCTTGTCATGTGGTATTTTGAGTCCTAATTTTTAACATTTTTAACTTGTAACATGGAAGAGTATGATAAATTGTATAGGACTCTTCCTCCATTCCACTGTTTTTTGGTGTTTTTATTAGAGAGATGGAATCTCGTTATGTTGCCCAGAGTGGAGTGCAGTGGCTATTCACAGGCATAATCATAACACACTGCAGACTCGAACTGCTAGGCTCAAGCAATACTCCCACCTCAGCCTCCTGGTTAGCTGGGACTACTGTTGTGTACCACTGTGCCTGGCTTACCTTTATGTTTTTATTTCATCCCAGTGACAGTTTCTTTTCCCTACTATAAATTGATTTAAATGATTTAAAGACTTGGTTTATGTAGTTATTATAATTTTAACTTCAAAATTGATTATAGACACATTCTGTAGTCTTTTGCTTTAGTAGACATAATTATTTTCTAGATTATCACTATTTTATGGGCAAAAACTTATTCTTACATTTGAATTCATGTGGTAGTCAAGAGACATATGTAAAAGTTATGGTTCTCAGGTAGTATATCGTGTCAAGTTATTACCTGTCAGTTAAAATTTAGTAACGGGATTTTTTTATTGGCAGAAAAGTTGTATGTAATAAAGCAAAATCATTCAAATTTATATACGTTAGGTTTCATTGTATCCTGAAATTTTTAATCTTCTCTACCTACTATTTTTCATACTATTGTTTATGTGTTTTATGTATTGGAGAACTGTGTTTTATACATATATTGTTCATGTTTTTATGTTTTAGAAAGGAGGACTGGTTTCTATGGCAGGTGAGCCTAATGAAGAATGGTTTGCCCCTCAGTGGATCTTGGATACTATACCCCGACGTTCCCCATTTGTTCCACAAATGGGAGATGAGGTAATTGTTACCTGTTATAACCTTTTCCTGTGTAGCCTCAAGAGCACTAACTTTAATCAGTCTGAATATATTTATATTCCTAATTCCATTATAATAATATATACAGTATCTTATCTGCTCTGCTTAATTATATATTTCCTGTGGAAGGTGATTGAACAGTATTAATCTTTGTATCCTTCGTAGAGCCTGGCACAGTAGCTTCAGTCTATTAGATGCTCATTGAATATGGAGATAAATTAATCAGCTTATGAAGTCATGAAAATAATTGGCTTTATTTTAATCTGAATTGCCACTTAGTAGAATTGAGTGGTATTTTGAGTCCTCATTCATGTTCCAATATTTTTTTTAAAAAGAAAAGTTCAACCTGAAAGAAAGTACACAAGAAGGTATTTACTCCTTTAAATGAGTAGGGGAATGTAATTTTGCAAACAGGTCTTTCTTTCTGAGTCTGTGATTGACAAGTATAGCCATATTTATTATCGGCCAAAAATTAATCAAAATTCTACCTGGTAAAAAAATTTCATTTTATTTTGAAATTTAGTATTATTTTATAAAATAATAAAATAATATTGGAACATTAGAACTCTTTTTGGCTTGGATATTGTCTGATATACTAATTTTTTTTTATTGATTCAATGTTTTTACACAGTTTTAAATTTAAGAGTGATAGTAGAAATGTAATATTGTCACTGCAGCAGCAGAAGGAGCAAAACCTTGCAAATTGACTCTAAACATTTTGGGAACAATAAAAATTTTACAAAACTTTATTGTAATTGCCTCTTATAGAGATCTTATATCAGAGTAGCTATCAAATAGCCTTACAAATAAATTATTACCTGCTGATTATCTTTAGATATTTTTAAATGTTTCTTTTGATGTTTTCTTATAGGTATTGGACTTCTGAGTAATGCTTGTTTGCATAATTATGTTAATAAATATTTTCTGACGAATGCTATACTTAAAAGCAGAGAACTTGTAAAATGTTATTGGCATATCTCAAATCACTATTTCTTATAGTTATTGCCTGTTTTTATTTTCTGGAGGCAGAAGAGGAGTCATGTTTAATTACCTTAGAAAACTTTATAGAACAAAACAAGGATCTATATACTCTAGGATCTGATGAGACTCCTGTCTAAGGACCATTTTTCTCCATTCTTTGGTTGAATTCCTTTTCCTCTATGTTGTTAAACTTACTATATCCTTATATGCTTCAAGACTAATGTATATGAGGTGAAGACAGTTCTTCAGGTAATGAGGAAGATGTATGTAAATCAGACAATGAATATGTAGAGAATGTTTTTAAAGAAATTATAAAGGCAAACATACACTTTTTATATAATTCATTTCTTAATGGCAACATTACTTTTTACTTCATCTTACCATTAAGCCTTTATTGTCTTGCCTAGATATCCCTACCCACAGATCATTGCTTCTTAAAATTATCATTTTCAAGGTCTAATTCAAATATTAACTTTTCCAGGATGTTGTCCTTGTTTTTCATTGACCAGTTCCTCTGTCCTCATAAGCTTTTCTACCTAAATTATCTTTCTCTTCTGATATATAATATATTCTACCTTGCGTTATAGTTATATATCCACATGTGCTTCCATATCCTAGAGGAAATGTTTTTATACCTTATCACAGCATCTAGTGCCTATACATAGATGTTCAATGATCAGTATTTGTTGAGTTCAGGAATGAATATATAATAAAGGATATCTTAATGTCATGTGTATTATTGGTTTTTAACCCTTACAATTATTTTATTTACTAATTTTAAACCTTTTTTATTTTCTGCTCAAATTTTTAGCTATTAGAAATTCTAACTTAGTATTGATTGGTAGAGTATGTTAATGTATTTTAGAAATCTCATAATATAGTATTTTTTGTTACTTTCTTCTATTTACTTATCTCTATCACTACTTTTTTTTTTTTTTTTTTGACCGACTCTTGCTCTGTTGCCCAGGCTAGAGTGCAGTGGAGCTATCTTGGCTCACTGCAACCTCTGCCTCCTGGGTTCAAAGCGATCCTCCTGCCTCAGCCTCCAGAGCAGCTGGGATTACAGGCGTGCACCACCATGACCAGCGAAGTTTTGTATTTTTAGTAGAGACGGGGTTTCACCATGTTGGCCAGGCTGGTCTCGAACCCCTGACCTCAGGTGATCTGCCTGCCTCGGCCTCCCAAAGTGCTGGGATTACAGGTGTGAGCCACTGTGCCTAGCCTCTATCACTGCTTTTAAACTTGAGGAAAAGAAACTTTTTGTAATAAATACAGAAAACGATAGTAAATGGTGGCTTAAAGAGCTGAAGAATTAAGTAATTGAATTCATTTTCCTTCCATAATATGCCAGTTCTGACATGAACTCCTGTAACAGGCAACTTTTAATTTGCCTTGAAATTACTCCATTTACTAACCTGTGATTTATACTGTTTATATGAAATGTGTAGACTGAATATTAAAATTTTGATAGAGTGTCAGTTATAATTTGAAGTATAGTATAGCTGTCCTTTGGTATCCACACAGAATTGGCTCTAGCACCCCTTGCAAATAACAGAATCTACAAGGACATTATATAAAAGGCCTAATATTTGCATATAACCTATGTACATCCTCCTATATACTTTAAATTATCACTATATTATGATACCTAATACAATGTAAATGCTGTATTAATTGTTGTTATACGATACTGGTTTTTTATTTGTATCATCATTTATATATATATATATTTATTTATTTATTGTGAGGGAGTTTTGCTCTTGTTGCCCAGGTTGGAGTGCAATGTTGTGATCTCGGCTCACTGCAACTTCCACTTCCCGAGTTCAAGTGATTCTCCTGCCTCAGCCTCCCGAGCAGCTGGGATTACAGGCATGTGTCACCATGCCCAGCTAAATTTTGTATTTTTATTAGAGACGGGGTTTTGCAACGTTGGTCAGGCTGATCTCGAACTCCTGACCTCAGGTGATCCACCTGCCTCAACCTCCCAAAGTTCTGGGATTAAAGGCGTGAGCCTCCATGCCCGGCGTAATTGTGTTGTTTTATATATCTATATCTATAGAAAATATCAAATATTTTCAACCTGCAGTTGATTGGATTTGATGATGCAGAAGCTGTGGATATGGAGGGGCACATATACTTTAAAATATGACCAGTTTTGTGTACATTTTCCATGATTCTGCTTCTTCAGCACACTTATGAAGCTGATTGAAGGGAAAGGACTGTGTTTACTGTGTTTATATGATGTGGTAATGAGCACAGGGCTACATAGGCGTGAGTACTGAATTAACATAATTTGAAACCTTTATTGTATGAAGTCTTTCAGTATTATAATTATTTCTTTCTGCAAACAGAAGAGGATGTTTGTAGGAATGTATATTGGACATACAGTGTTATATAGGATGCTGCTGTTTAATACCTTATGTTTTCTGTTTTAGCTTATCTATTTTAGGCAAGGACATGAAGCTTATGTTCGGGCTGTAAGGAAATCAAAAATATACAGTGTTAATTTACAAAAACAGCCATGGAACAAAATGGATCTCAGGGTAAGTTTGCCAAATTCATAAGCTATGCAGTTGAAGTAGATTTGGAATTAAATTGCTTACCCATGGTTTTTTTCCTCAGTTTTATGAATATTTCACTGTTGATTGTGTATCCAAGATAAGATGGTGTACTATACTCTTGTAGAACTGAATATTATGGATCACATTTTATATGTTTCTTAAAATTTGTATGCTATTTTCTATTGTCTAGTCTATACTAGTCCATAATTAGAGCAAAGCAGGAGTTCCCTTGTGTGGATATTTTCTCTAATCAGCAACTTTGTATGTTCTGGATGCTTTATAAACTGAGAGTGTAGACTATAAACACTCTCAAGGTTCTGACAGCTTTGGTATATATTAAATATGATAAATCACAATAAGCCCCGAAACTTATGGTGTTTTGTAAAATAGCTGTTTTAATATATTACCCATGTAGCTACATATATAATACCCATGTGGCTCCATACTTTATGGAGAATGATTTTGTCAATAAATATTTCATTCATTTGTACATATATATGTGTGTCTATATATGCACACATGCACATACAGACAGACATAGGTATACATTCACCACCATTTCTACCTAGGTTTATTTGTGTTTCAGTTTGGTTTTCTGAACAAGAGACTAAAGGGCCATTTTATGATAGTTTTCCAGGTAAATGAAGGGTTGTGTGATGATTCTTGACAGGAAGGATATAAGAGAGAATATGTATATTTATTTATTTATTTTTTATTTCTTTTGAGACAGAGTCTCACTCTGTTGCCCAGGTTGGAGTGCAGTGGCCCTATCTCGCCTCACTGCAACCTCCGCCTCCGGGGTTCAAGTGATTCTTCTGCCTCAGCCTCCTGAGTAGCTGGGATTACAGGCACATGCCACCACGCCTGGCTAATTTTTGTATTTTTATTGGAGACGGGATTTCGCCATGTTGACCAGGCTAGTCTTGAACTCCTGACCTCAGCGTGATCCACCCGCCTCAGCTTCCCAAAGTGCTGGGATACAGGCATGAGCCACCGTGCCCAGCTGAGAATATGTATATTTATTAAAATAAAGATTTGATTTAGATGTTTGTAAAACTTTTTATTAATGTCATCAGGTGGTAAAGTAGCTTATCACGTGAGCTTTACATAATCATCTTCTGGAAGATAGGGACAGCTCCCATCTATTCTGCATCAAGTAAAAGTTGAGTTCTTCTTTAGATTCACAGGACTGAATAAAACATGTGATTTCTTACTTTTTTTTTTTTTTAAAAAAAAAAAAACAGAGTCTTACTCTGTCACCCAGGCTGGAGTGCAGTAGAGCGATCTCCACTCACTGCAACCTCTGCCTCCCAGGTGCAAGCAATTCTCCTGCCTCAGCCTCTCGAGTAGCTGGGATTACAGGCGCCCACCACCACGCCTGTCTAATTTTTGCCTTTTTAGTAAAGATGAGGTTTCACCATGTTGGCCAGGCCGGTCTCAAACTCCTGACCTCAGGTGATCCACCCTCCTTGGCCTCCAAAAGTGCTGGGATTAGAGGAATGAGCTGCCGCATCCAGCCACGTTCTTTCTTTTTATCCTAACCTTGTTGTTCTAGGAAATTGTAGGAGCAGCTTATATATGGTAAATGAGCTTAGCCTTTGGAATAAGACCTGGATTTCAATTGTAGCTCTGCTATATGCTAGTATATAACTTTAAGCAGGACCCTATACCTACAAAGATCAGTTTTGCCATCAGTTAAATGTGACTAATAATTAGTGAATGTGTATGATTATTGTAAGATCATATCCAGAATCTATAAGGAACTTAACAAGCATAAAAACAAACAATCTCATTAAAAAATGGGTAAAGGACATGAACAGACACTTCTTAAAAGAAAATGTATAAGTGGCCAACAAACATGTGAAAAAATGCTAAAACATCACTTATCATTAGGGAAATGCAAATCAAAACCACAAGATACCATCTCACACCAGTCAGAATGGGTATTATTAAAAAGTCAAAACAGGCCGGGCGCGGTGGCTCAAGCCTGTAATCCCAGCACTTTGGGAGGCCGAGATGGGCGGATCACGAGGTCAGGAGATCGAGACCATCCTGGCTAACACGGTGAAACCCCGTCTCTACTAAGAAATACAAAAAATAGCCGGGCGAGGTGGCAGCGCCTGTAGTCCCAGCTACTCGGGAGACTGAGGCCGGAGAATGGCGTGAACCCGGGAGGCGGAGCTTGCAGTGAACTGAGATCCGGCCACTGCACTCCAGCCTGGGCGACAGCGCGAGACTCCGTCTCAAAAAAAAAAAAAAAAAAAAAAAAAAGTCAAAACAAACAAACAGATGCTTGTGAAGTTGTGGAGAGGGGAGAATACTTATCCACTACTGGTGGGAATGTGAATTAGTTCAGCCACTGTGGAAAGCAGTCTGGAGATTTCTCAGAAAACTTAAAGTAGAACTACCCAAATTCCATTACTGGATGTATATCCAAAGGAATATAAATTGTTCTACTGTGAAGACACATGCACACGCATGTTCATCATAGCACTATTCACAATAGCAAAGACATGGAATCAATCTAGATGCCCGTCAGTGGTAGACTGGATAAAAAAAAAATGTACATATACATCATGGAATACTATGTAGCTCTAAAAAAATGAGATCATGGCCTTTACAGCAACATAGATGAAGCTGAAGGCCATTATTGTAAGTAAAACAGCTAAAAAACAAAAAATCAAATACTACATGCCCTCACTTACAAATGGGTACTAAACAGTTGGACAATTGGACATGTAGATGGAAATGATAGACACTGGGGACTCCAAAGGAAGGGAGATTAGGAGAGGGATAGGGTTTAAAAAATTAGCTATTTGGTACAATGGTTACTCTTTGGAGGATGGGTACACTAGAAACTCAAACCCCACCATTATGCAATATATCCATGTAACAAACCTGCACGTGTACCCCATGAATCTAAAGTAAAACAAAAACAGCAAAAAAGATAATGTTGTAGATATTAAAAAGTATAAGTCTTCACCCCAAACATGTACACGTACATATATACCTGTATGCTTATATACTGTGTTTTTGCTAGGGGAGTGATTTTTAACCAGAGCATCATACTGCACTAGGGAGTTTTTCCAAAATAGATATATTACCAAGCTGTACCCCAAACATAGAATTCGATTCTATAGGTATAGGATTTCAGAACATTAAATTTGAAGCGTTTCCCCAGGTGATGTGGCTGCTCATTCTTGGTTTAGAGCCTTGCACTAAACTACAACCTGCTATTAAGAGTTAAGAGCCATGTCTTATTACCTTTAACACTTAGTGTAGTGCCTGGCATTTAGAGAATCTTCAGATATTAATAAATTATTCAAGTAATAATGAAATACTATGCAAATGTTAAGTAATTATTTATATTGAAAGTAATAATTTATTGGTATTCTCATGAATAGGAGCAAGAGTTTGTTAAGATTGTAGGAATCAAATATGAGGTTGGCCCACCCACACTGTGCTGCTTGAAGCTTGCATTTCTGGACCCAATTTCAGGCAAAATGACTGGAGAATCTTTTTCCATTAAGTGAGTAGTTATCTCTGGGTCTCTGTGTTTGAGTTTGTGTATTTTAATACCTATTGTATATTCTACAGAGTACAGGGCTCAATGGGAGAGAAAACACTATAGCATTCTGTACTACAGGGTTTAGAATTATAAAGACCAGAGTTTAATTCCTAGTTTGTTTCTCCATTTTATTTATATTTGTGTGTGTGTGTGTGTGTATGTATTTATGTTATGGATAGTTAGATAGATAGGTTCATAAGCAAGTTACTTAACCTCTCTGAATTTGTGTCTTCATTTGTAAAATGGAAATGGTAATCTCTTCCTAAAGATTATTGTGAGGCATCAAAGACAAACCTTTATAATTCCCTAATCGAATGTTTGAAACATGGTAGTTGCTTTTATTTCTGTTAATAATAACAGGAATAATAAGTCAGAGACTCTTTATGTGAAGCTGAGTTTAAAATGTAAGGAGATTAAAGAACATTAATTCATACTCCTTAATATAAAATACCTCATATTAATGTTTATAAACCTGTATTGGCATCTTTATATTTTTAAAGTAATATGACAGTAGGCAGGGCACTCTCAAACAGATCAGATAAGATGGTGTTTAAGTAAAGGCATTTCTAGGGACTGTGAGGTTTGCACAATTTTCTTAATGGGTCTACAATAAACATATATCCTTGGACATTTAGCAATATATATTGTTATATCTCTATATTGATTCATATGTACTTTATTTTCTGTATAGGTATCATGACATGCCAGATGTCATTGACTTCCTTGTGCTACATCAGTTTTATAATGAAGCCAAAGAAAGGAACTGGCAGATTGGTAAGTATAGAATTGTTTTTTAATAACTATTAAGCTTAGGTACAGTAAGTAACTTTTTAACTGTGATTGAACAGAAAGAAACTAGCTTATCATTTAGCTGAAAAAAGCTATCAGAGAAACTAGAAAACTTAAGTTAAAATTTCCTTTTAGTTATTTCTCATGCACATTGTATGTGGCATATAATCTCTAAACCTTCTGCAAATATCTACTCTATTAGTATACAAATAGGAATATAAAGAAAATTCGCAAATGTCAGTTGCCCTAAAATAGAGCACTTTACACTTAGGTTCTAAAACAGATGATTACTGATTGTGATTTGTTTCCTTTTTTCCTTCTTCCATCTTTGTTTCCCTCCCTGTCACCTTCCCACCCTCTTTTGCTCCTTTACCTTCCTTCCTTTTCTTTTTTGATTATAAAAAACAGTATAACAATAATGTAAAGGAAAACATTTTAAAAGTTAAAGAAATTTGCTTATAGCTCTATTGTGTAACAATACAATACAGAACATAAGGATTTTTAAACTACTGACTTTTTTGCACACTTAATTACTTTGGCCTGAATTTTAAAAATCTAATTGTAGCCATACGTATTAGTTCATTTTCACACTGCTATAAAGATACTACCTGAGACTGGGTAATTTATAAAGAAAAAATTGTTTATTTCACAGTTCCACATGACTCGGGAGGCCTTAGGAAATTTACAATCATGGCAGAAGGCAAAAGGGAAGCAAGACTTTCTTCATATGGCTGCAGGAGACAGAGAGTTAGAAGGGGAAGTGCCACACTTTCAAACCATCAGATCTTGTGAAAACTCACTTACCATCACGAGAAGAGCATGAGGGAAATTGCCCCTATAATCCAATCAGCTCCCACCAAGTCCCTCCCCGGATGCGAGGGGATTAGATTTCAAGATGAGATTATGGTGGGGACACAGAACCTAGCCATGTCATTCAGCCCCTGGCCCCTCCCAAATCTCATGTCCTCATTTCAAAACCAATCAACAATCCCCCAAAGTCTTAACTCATTCCAGCATTAACTCGAAAGTCCACGTCCAAAGTATCATCTGAGACAAGGCAAGTCACTTCTGCCTATGAACAAGTTTGTTACTTGCTAGATATAATGGGGGTACAGGCATTGGATAAATACACCCATTCCAAATGGGAGAAATTGGCCAAAACGAAGGGACTGAAGGCTCCATGCAAGTCTGAAATCCAGCGGGGCAGTTAAATTTTAAAGCTCCCAAATGATCTCCTCTGACTCCATGTCTCACATCCAGGTCACGCTGATGCAAGAGGTGGGTTCCCATGCTCTTGGGCAGCTCCATCCCTGTGACTTTGCAGGGTATATCCCCTTTCCCAGCTGCTTTCACAGGCTGGCGTTGAGTGTCTGCAGCTTTTCCAGGCACACTGTGCATGCTGTCGGTGAATCTGCCATTCTGGGGTCTGGAGGACGGTGACCCTCTTCTCACAACTCCACTAGGCAGTGCCCCAGTGGGGGCTCTGTATGGGGGCTCCAACCCCACATTTGCCTTCTGCACTGCCCTAGCAGAGATTCTCCATGAGGACTCTGCCCCGGCAGCAGACTTTTACCTGGATATGCAGGCATTTTCATACATCCTCTGAAATCTAGGTGGAGGTTCCCAAACCTCAATTCTTGACTTCTATGCATCTGCAGGCCCAACACCACGTGGAAGCTACCAAGGTTTGGGGCTTGCAACCTTTGAAACAACAGCCTGAGCAATACCTTGACCCCTTTTATTCATGGCTGGAGCTGGAGCAGCTGGCAAACAGAGCACCAAGTTCCAAGTGTGCACAGAGCAGGGGGGCAGCCCCAAGAAACCATTTTTTCCTTCTAGGCCCCGGGGCTTGTGATGGGAGGGGCTGCCTTGAAGAGCTCTGACATGCTCTGGAGACATTTTCCCCATTTTCTTGATGATTAACATTTGACTCCTAGTTACTTATGCAAATTTCTGTAGCTGGCTTGAATTTCTCCTCAGAAAATGGGTTTTTCTTTTTCTTTTTTTTTGAGACAGAGTCTCGCTCTGTCGCCCAGGCTGGAGTGCAGTGGCCAGATCTCAGCTCACTGCAAGCTCCGCCTCCCGGGTTTATGCCATTCTCCTGCCTCAGCCTCCCGAGTAGCTGGGACTACAGGCACCCGCCACCTCGCCCTGCAAGGTTTTTGTATTTTTTAGTAGAGATGGGGTTTCACCGTGTTAGCCAGGATGGTCTTGATCTCCTGACCTCGTGATCTGCCCGTCTCGGCCTCCCAAAGTGCTGGGATTACAGGCTTGAGCCACCATGCCCGGCCAGGTTTTTCTTTTTTATTGTATCAGTCATCAGGCTGCAAAATTTCTGAACTTTAATGCTCTGTTTCCCTTTTAAAGATAAGTTTCAATTCCAAACAATATCTTTGTGAATACATAAAACTGAATACTTTTAACAGCAGCCAAGTCACTCCTTGAATGCTTTACTGCTTAGAAATGTCTTCCACCAGATACCTTAAATCATCTATCTCAAGTTCAAGGTTCCACAGATCTCTAGGGCATGGGCAAAATGCTGCCTGTGTCTTTACTATAGCATAGCATGTGTGACCTTTACTCTAGTTCCCAATAAGTTCCTGATCTCCATCTGAGACCACCTCAACCTGGACTTCATTGTTCATATGACTATTAGCATTTTGGTCAAAACCATTTAACAAGTCTCTAGGAAGTTCCAAACTTTCCTACATCTTCCTTGATTTATAGCCTGCCTTGAAGATCTGTAATACACAAACTAGTATGAAGAGATTTTTAAAGAAAGCTAAAAGCAAGATAGAAGAATCAATTGCATTTATGTACATATGTAATACAATAAGAAGTGTGCCTAATGATGATGCTAAGGAATTGAAAAAGTTATCATTTATTTAAGAAGACGTGGTCATATGTAATTTATTTCAGAAAGATTTCTACCACTTGGAAATCAAAATACATGAAGAGGTTAAAATGTAAAATAATCACTTATCTCGAAAACCTAGATGGAAGCTTCTGATAATGCTAGATACAATGTTACTTCTGTAGTCGACAAAAAGCAGTAATTTAGAGTGGGAACAGAGCTAATGTTCTCAAGAGCATCCTTTTAAAAATTTTAAAACATTATAGGTGATAGATTCCGCAGTATAATAGATGACGCCTGGTGGTTTGGAACTGTGGAGAGTCAGCAGCCTTTTCAACCAGAGTATCCTGATAGTTCTTTCCAGTGTTATAGTGTTCAGTAAGTATGTTTATGATCTTTTATGCCTAATATGATATTGTAGTAGTATGTGGACTTTTAAAAACCTCCACCAGGAGTAATGCCCTTTTATCTGACTTATCTAGTCTCACAATACCTGTACCTGTAAAGAAGAAATTTGATGGTAAAGTGCTCAGTTTTTCCCTTGTTTTAGTCAAAGCAAAGTTCTTTGTTTTCTTTGACTAAAACAAAGGAATAACTAAACACTTTATTTCTACCTCTTTTATTGTCTGCATTTTTTATTAACTATTTCTGCTTCAGACAAGAATTGCAACCATTTTTTAATGGGAAATACGGAAACTAATTTACTACTTAAAGTAATTGTTATTGCTGGAATATAGCAATGAATATTAGTACTTAGTCTTTTGTTTAGTCATATGAATTCTAGGCAGAGGTGGTTGCCTCATGTTTGGAAGTACTATTTGTTTGCAACATTTACTTTAATTCTTCTTGAAAATCCAGAGTTGTAAGATTGCTAACGAATAAATCCTCTCAAGAATGATAGAAGAAATGTTCATTCTATGAGGACTGACTTTTAGTCTCTGTATTGACTAAAAGTAGGCTTTCTGCCCTCTAAGTTTCATAGAGATGGACCATGTTTTCTCTATTAGAAGTTTATTGTTATCTGTATATAACCAGAGTTGTACTTTCAAGACAACTGTATTGCCCTTTTCAAATCTCACCCCCAAGAGGTCATGTAAAATTGTGGTAGTATATGAAAGGAAGTACTCTATGATTAATTTGATTTGCATCTTCTTATTTTTTAATAGCTGGGACAATAATGAGAGAGAAAAGATGAGCCCCTGGGATATGGAGCCAATTCCAGAAGGAAGTAAATATGCTTTTAAAAATGAATTATAATTCTTTTAAAAGTAAAATGATATTCATGTGATACTGGAAACTAATTTTTTTCTGATTTTTTTTTAATCTTATACCTAGCTGCCTTTCCAGATGAAGTTGGTGCTGGTGTCCCTGTCTCCCAGGAAGAATTGACTGCTTTGCTATACAAACCCCAGGAAGGAGAGTGGGGGGCTCATTCCAGAGATGAAGAATGTGAACGGGTTATTCAGGGCATCAACCACCTTCTTTCCCTGGGTATGATGAATGTGAAAAAATTTTAGGAGCATGCAGAGGAGCTAGAAAAATCAGCAGAAATTTTAAGTTCTACAAAAGGATATACGGTTTCTCACTGTACACTTTAAACTCAAGAAGCACAGTGATTCTAGTTTTAATATTAACAGTTTTATATGCTTGGCCAAAGTAATAACTGATAATTTTCTTTAAACAATCTGGGGGATAATAGTAAGGTAACCATGTAAGTGTCTATTTCCTTTTTGCATCACTTTGATTCTCTAGCTATTCCCTGAGCCTGACTTTGGATGGGTTTTTTGGTAAGGACAGTGGATGAGTAATGTATTTTACCCACGTGAATAGTTAAATTTTCTAAAACATGTCACTTGAGAAGTTTGGCATTTATCTAGGAAAGACAGAAATCTGAAGTTAAACCCAGTGCTCCTCTAATTTTGTTTTACCTGATTTGAACCAGTGTATCATGCATGATTCATAGATATGATATCCAAATATAAAGAATAACATTCTGTTTGTATAATGGAATCCTCATGGTTTTAGAAATGTAGTATATCACCCTCCCTTCTTGTTTATATATGAATAAATGTTTGTTACCATGAGATGTTAATGTCCTTTATAGCTACCTTATTTGATTTTGATGATTTTGTAGATTTTGCCAGCCCTTTTGCTGTTCCAGTGGATCTCAGTGCCTACCCCTTGTATTGTACTGTAGTTGCTTATCCAACTGACCTCAATACCATCAGGCGGAGACTTGAAAATCGCTTTTACAGGTCTGTTTTTTTTTTAATCACTTATTATAAAATTTATAGCTTTATGGCTTTTGCTTTCCTTTTTGAGATCTGTGTTTTCATAGTATAACATGATCATCCAAAAGATCCACACCAAAATTTCCTTTAAAAATTTAGAACATTAATTTCCCTTTATTTAGTAGATTCTCACTCTTGGGGATAGAGAAGAAAGGCTGAGAGGAAAATATGGGTAGTACAAATGGTGTGTAAAACAAAAACTACATTTAACTTTAGTTTATTAAAGGCAATTTAAGTGGTTTGTGGATTCATCATGATTAAGGTGCTACTGATTTGGAGCATGTTTAAATCCTCTGTTGGAAAATTTGGTCACAGTTAATTAGATTTAGTTACCAGCCCTGAAATATATACAGGAAAGGAGCCAAGTAATTTTTTTCTTTGTTTTGGTTGGGATGGGAGATGATTATGGGAAGGCAGTAGAGGGCATTTCTTGGTCCATCTCTCATCCAAGTCTCCTACTGACCACAGTATTCCATGACTGGTTAATCTGCCTTTGCAATTGAGAACTGGTTATATTTTCATAACATATTATTTTGATTTGATATTTATATCATAAAAGTAATTAGATAAAAATCTGTCATTTTTTAGAATCTGGTTTTTTTTGTTGTTGTTGTTGCTCTTCTTGGTTCTTCCCCTGAAAACTAAAGTAAACATTCTTTTGACCTTGTCAAATGACTCTTTACCCATAATGTCCTAGGTCAGTTTAAGTTTTGTATATACATTCCAGTGGTTCAAAATCCCTGCTTGTGCTTTAAATACTGTAACTATATCATCTCCTTTTAGTGCTCATCAATCAAATATATTGAGTTATATGCATATTGGAACACCTTTGACATATTATGTTTAAGTACGTATTTGTTCCATATTGTATATTCCTAAAATATACTCTAAATATATCAGCCAAGACTAACAGAGTATTTTTTGTTTCACAGGAGAATATCAGCATTAATGTGGGAGGTACGCTATATTGAGCATAATGCCAGGACTTTCAATGAGCCAGACAGTCCTATAGTTAAAGCAGCTAAAATTGTAACTGATGTCTTACTTCGATTTATTGGGTAAGAAGCAGTTTTAGCTTCCAGAGAATCTAACTTAAGGTTTTTAAAAAATGAATTTAAAAAAATTAATTGAAAACTTGTAAAAATTACTGAAGCTATTGACTTGTTTCTTAGGGATCAGAGCTGTACTGATATACTGGATACTTATAATAAAATTAAAGCAGAAGAACGAAACAGTACTGATGCAGAGGAGGTAAGAATCACAGCATGATTAGTAGGAATGAGTTACTTTTCTCTTATTTGAAGTACAGTATTATGTGTAAATGTTGTAATTGGCCATGAACAGCAAAACAGATTTTTGAAAGCTGGCTGAATGCCAGCGTCTTCTAAAGTGTACTTAGATGGCATATATCAAAAATAAAATAGTGCTGCAAGGTTTATTCAGAGACAGGGGGCCAGTCATCATATTTGACACAGTGGGTGTAAATGATGAGAAATCAACACTTTATTTTCAACATTTAGAAACAAGACAAGTGCTCAATATTTTAAAAGAATACTTAGTTGATGGAAATTTCAGTAAGGATGTTATTTTCTATATGCTGTATAGAAAATATTAAAGTATTTTAAAGTTTCAGGCTTGAAAGTCTAAATTTTCAGTAGTTTCGTGAAATTGCTACTCGATTTCCTTTGTGAAAATTTATAAAGATAAACCAGACTCTTCTGAATGAAATGGAAGTAGTACGCAGCAGACCCTCATATTCCTGATTTCCCCCTATGTTTCTAATTTACACAAAGCCGTATTTGACTGGAGGTTATGATCGAAACAAAAACCAAAATAGAGGTTGGAACAATATTGGAAAGTGGTAATTCACAAATCTTTACTGGAAAACAATTCATCCCAGGGATGAGTGACTCACATGTGCTAGATTGTGTTGCAGTGGCATGAGATATTTTGCATGTTTATATTATTTATACTGTTAATCTCCAGAATGGTAAATCTCCAATGCTGTTTTTTAAATTTTTTCATGAAAGTGTGTCTGACAATGAAATATATTATTACAGTTAAATGTTATTTACATAATAAGGAAAACATGATATACCAATGAGATATTATTATAGTTTCTTGACACCTAAGAAAAATCTATCACTAATATTTTTTATATTTTCTTATATATTCCTTATATTTTCTCTGACCTTTCACATAAATGTATTTTAGCTCGAAATTTGGTGTAGCAGGAATTTCACCTCAGAGTAGCACTGTTTGGGTTAAAATAGAAAACTTAAGTAAAAATATAACTCAACAGCTTTATTTTATTAGAAAGGAGTACCAATATCTCATGAGCTACTTTTGATTTTCTACTACATATTACCCAGTATTTCACCATCACTAGTGGTGCTTGGGTCTTGACTCTTCGCATTAAAAAAATTATGCCTTCGAGTGATACTTAACTGAAATAGATCTCTTTCCTATAGGAAAATATAAATGCATATTATATGAGATCTATTTCTTGAAATGGCAATGGAGTAATCATGAATAATTAATAATTGTATATTAAATGAGCATGTCATATAGAATAAGGTTTTTAAAAATTACTAACACTTAGGTACAATTTTAGCAAATAGCAACCACTATACTGTTCCCCTCCTTTCCGATTCTTATTTAAAGAGAAACCTTGTTTAATTCTTCTTCCAGTATATTTTCCAGCTTGTACACTGCATATTGGGAAAGTTTGGCGTGAGTCTCCCTCTATCTTTTGTTCTACTTGCTGCTTCAGTGGGGGAAGTTAACTGTGATTTTATTTCCCATTTATTTGTAAATGTCCATCTAATTTATATGACTTTGAATGTAACTTACAGTCTTTTCCCACTCTTCCTTTTTAATTTAGGATACAGAAATGGTTGATTTAGATTCAGACGGTCCTGGTACTTCATCTGGAAGAAGGGTGAGTAAATAAGTGAACTGCTGAGGAGATGCGTTTTCAGGTTTCCTGTGTCAGTGATCCCTAAGACCAACCCCATTTTTGGAGAATTGCTAGAAGGATTCTTGTAACTAAGTATATTAGGTATGCTCATTGATAAGATTTACTACAGTGATGCAGTAAGGGTACCCAGTTGAGTAATGGGGGAAAAGACACCGGCAGAGTCTGGAGAAATTTATGTACAGGCTTCCTTATGCTATTAATATCTTTCCCCTGTGTGGGGTCACAGCATGTGTGTGATTAGAGACTCAGTCCCCAAAGATTTTACTGGGGGCTGGTTATTTGGGTACCCTCTAACTATCACATACTGAGATTCCAGATTCCCAGAAGAAATCAGGTATTCAGCACAAATCACATTGTTTATACTGTCTAGGGGCAGTAAACTGTCTTAATAATTTAGGAAGCCGTTCAAATGCCAAGTTCCCAAATGCCAGCCAAGGCAACCTTGGAAGCAAGCTCTGGCCTACTTTGTTAACTCTTTTGTGCAGACTTCTGCTCTATAATAATTAGACATGTAGTTATTTTATATAAGGAACAATATATTTTGAAATACTGAAAGAGATCGTAACAAAATCAAATGGTACAGAACAGAATTTATCATGACCTCAAAGGATTTCTGGGAAACAAAAATCATTCAAGTGTTGCTTTGAGAAAAATATGATGCCATTGTCAAGTATACTTAACTACCAGCAAATATTAAGGCATTATAACTTGATCTTGTAGAGGAAGGAAGCATTTGTTCCTCTGTACCTTATTTGAAGTTCAGATTTGAGTACTAGAATTCTTGCGATTTCCATGAATATAATGTCTAGGTTTTTTTGCTCATTAATTATTTTTGCCAGTGAAAATACTGTCTGATTTAAGCTAAGAATCTAGAATAGCAGCTGCGCTATATATATACAGATAGATATATTAACATTAGGGACTCATGAGAAAATCAATTGAGTTAAGGAAAGATCTTTTACATATAACTCTATTAAAATCTGTAGGTCAAATGCCGAGGCAGAAGACAGTCTTTAAAGTGTAATCCTGATGCTTGGAAAAAACAATGCAAAGAACTATTGAGCCTCATTTATGAACGTGAAGACTCAGAGCCATTTCGACAGCCAGCCGATCTTCTTTCTTACCCAGTAAGCATACAGTAGTTTAAATAATTGTCAGTATGATAATTTCCCATAAATGTCCATGCTAAAATCTAGATAAGAGCAATGTTCTCACTCCCTACTTTCCTTTCTTTTTTTCCAATCTTTTGATTGTGAAAGTAGTAGTGTGACTAGTTGATTTTTTAAAAAATGCCATTGTGTCTTCAGTGTGTAAATTATACAGTTGTAAAAGAAAAATTTGAATCAGAGTTCATTTGCTATTCTTTCCCACTTTTATTTCAGATGTTTATTTAATACATTTTACTAAACTCGAATACACCTCTGTACACTGTAGATGTTTGGTGACATGTCAATCCTGTGTAATTTATACTGAATGTGTTATCAATATGGCCACTTAGAGTAACCAGTATACCAGTATGACATTTCTTTTCAATGAAGGTAAAAGGATGACAACTTTGATTGTAGGATTTATTTTCTGGGAGTGTATCTATTCACTGAGGTAGTATAGATAGCAAATCTATTTTAACTTTTTCAGAGAAGAGGTACAGCACTATTTTAGAAATACATCAGACCATCCTATGAGCTTACTACACATTGGTATTCTCTGTATACTGTGAGTCTCAGTTGGGAAAAAATATCATTCAAATAAGGAACAAGATTGTGTTCAACAGAATTTGTTTGTTTGCTTGTAGGGAGTTTGGGTAAAATAAATTAGTCTTGTGTTTTTCATAGCAAAGGAGAATGACGAATGTATAATTCCTTCACCTAAAGGTACAGCCAATAAAAACATGATTCCAGTGTATGAATCTTTGAGACTTAAGTCATAATTGTATTACATGTCTTGATATTTTGTTATAGTTGTCTGGAAACCAGTATATACTCTTTACCCTAATAGGGTTATCAGGAGCAAGAGGGAGAATCCTCAGAGTCTATTGTTCCAGAAAGACAACAAGATTCATCTCTTTCTGAGGTAGGCCTGGTAGTCTCTTAAAAGACGTACTGATTGTTTTTACTTTCTAAACTGTCCATACTGTACATGAACCTTTTATAATTTGTTAAGACTGCCTTCTAACTCTGCACCCTTTTTACCTTTGTTTGATTTTTTGATCATTTATTTTTTGTTCCTCTTTCTGAATCAACATGTGTTCTCAAGATTGTTCTTTGTGTCCTCCTTGTAAATGTTTACTTTTTTATGTAGATCTGAAGCTACTGTAGCAGAGTAGAAAACATCAGTTACACAATATAATTGTGTCTGTATTGCAGCTGATTATTCCCACTGGAACTTCATTCAGCAAGCAGGCTGAGTCTCTTAAATTTTGTTCATCATACTACACAAGTTCTAACATAAGCCATACTGTGTGTTAGAATACACTTCTGTTTTTTTATGATTTAAGAAAATAAGATATATTTAGAACATTTGTGATTTCTCATACTTTGAAAAATATTTTCTCTCTGTTTATAATACCTTTTATCTGTCCCCTTCTGGCTTTTTGGCTTTTCCTAGGAGGGAAATGTGGAGATTTTACTTCTTGATGATTCTAAATACAATAAGGAATCTAATACTGAGTATGGTTTTCACTCTGAAACTTGTTTTTGAGGCTTGTAGCATATATAGGAATTAAATTTCAGATGTAACTCCATCTGATAACCCTAGGAAAATCTTTACTGGATTTAGGTTAAAATGGAATGTCTCCTCTTCCCTAATCAAAATCAAATGAATTATGGACCTATAAGATGGAATCCCTTCGATGAAGCAAAGGTATCACATTGATTTAAAATCAAAAAGGAGAAAGGCACAAACATGACCAACTTGACTTTGTCCCTTAAGTAATGACACTTAAGTAGAATGTTCTTATAGCAAGGAATCGTGGAAATATGTAGCTAATTTGTAGAGTGGAACAATTTAATGATATGTGAATAATCCCATCTTTTATCATTAAACAGTGTGCTGGGGTTTTGGAGGTTGTATCAGCCTTTAAGCAAGACATGGAAGCTGTAGAGATGAAGCCAACGGCTATGGATTTTCTATTCTTTCCCTTCGTAGTTTTTTATGGTTATTACTGTAGTGTGAGGGCTAAGGCTTTCCCACAGACTTCTGCTGTTTTTATGAGCCACCGAAAGATGTTTTGGGGTTGTGGGGAGGTAGGTGGCACATTGAAAAACAATGTGTTTATCTCATGGTGGATTGTAGTAGGTGATACCAATTGTAGTCCCATTGTATTCCTTAATATTGCTATGCAGTTTGAGTATTTAATAACACATTCTTCTTTGTAGGATTATCAAGATGTTATAGATACTCCTGTGGACTTCAGCACTGTGAAAGAAACTTTGGAAGCAGGAAACTATGGTAGTCCTCTGGAATTTTATAAGGATGTTCGCCAAATATTCAACAACTCCAAAGCTTATACCTCTAATAAAAAGTCAAGGGTATGATTATTAGTTGGGTTAATTATCAGGCAGTTTTCTTTAACCAGTTACTGAAATTTGATCCTCAGTATCTTTTTTGAAATATGGATTGCTTGTTAGGCATGCATAAAGATATATTTAGCAGTCATTCTGAAATTAACCGCCTTTTCCTTTCTCTTACTTGTCTCTTTACTCTTTAATAATAATTATTTATAGCTACTAGAGAAAGAACAAGGAGAGGAGAGATAGTAATTTGAGTACACTTTAATATGTCTAATAAGTGACTTAATAAATAGAAAGGGGATTGACAGTGTTAATTTATGTGAAATATTTTTATTAGCTCTGAATATGTATGTTCCATTTATTCTAACAGATAATAAACCATCTTGGGAAGTTGTAACTGCTTATTTATATTCACATTTAATATTTTCCCTATATTTTGTCAGAACTTAAAGTATATTCAGAATAGAAAAATAGTCATTATTTTTTTCTTTTGAAATCACTGGTATCTGATTAACTTTTAATCAGTTGCACAGTAAATATATACTTGTGTACTTCCACTTTATGGAAAATGCATTTCCACTAATTTCTGCAAACATAATTTGTTTACACTTGCTTCCCCTCCCCCTTGATCCTGATTGCTAGAGTGAAATTTTCTATAGAAAGTTTGGGAAACACAGAGAAGTATAAAGAAGGAAACAAAAATCACCTGTGAAACCTATCACCTATTTTTACTTACAGTTACTGTTTACTTCCAGGATTTTCTACATTAACACATACATCTACATATGTTTATATATTCTTTATAATAGTAGATTTCGTATTTTGAAGCATTTTTTGTTACTTAAGTATTATGAATGTTTTCCTGTGTCGTCATGACTCTTTGAAAACAAGGTTTTTAATGGTATTCTGTTGTGTGGTTGTTTTATGTTATACTAACCAGTGTTCTTTGGCTAGAGATTTAGGTTGTTTCCAGTTATTCATTTTACATGAATAATGCTATAGGTAATATCTTTAACATTCTTGAATATAATTTTTTATGTATATAATTCTGTGGTATTTCCTAGGGACAAATTCCCAGAAGTAAAATTATTAGCCAAAGGATGTGTGTATCTTTAAGGTTTTTTAGTACAGACTGTATATTGTCCTTTAGAATGCTGTTTCAATTTATATTCTCTCTTGCATTGTATCAGAGTCTTTTTTTTCTACCCTTTAGAACATTGAATACTATATTTGAAAAACATTTATTTTTAGGTGAAAATGGTATCCTACTTTAGTTATTTGAGAAGAATTTTTCTTTTTTTTAATTATTATACTTTAAGTTCTAGGGTACATGTGCATAACGTGCAGGTCTGTTACATATGTACACTTGTGCCATGTTGCTGTGCTGCACCCATCAACTCGTCAGCACCCGAGAAGAATTTTTCAAGTGAACAAATATTTTGTCCGTAATGATGATGCTTAATATTGGTCTAGGCATGTTTATACCTTTTTAAAAAATACAAAACTAGTTAAGACTATATAATTTCTGCCTTCTCAGATTTATAGCATGATGCTGCGATTATCTGCCTTATTTGAAAGTCATATCAAAAATATCATCTCTGAGTATAAGTCAGCAATCCAGAGTCAGAAGAGGAGAAGGCCACGGTACAGAAAACGTCTAAGAAGCAGCAGCAGTTCGTTATCTAGTAGTGGAGCACCTAGGTATCATTACATTGATACAACATTTTTTTGTTCTCAAAGCATTTTGTGTGTATTACCTAATTTATGAAAGTTGATGAATAGTTTGAGGAGATCCCAAGAGGTCTTTTTGTTTGTTTGTTTCCTAAACTCTTATGCCTATGTAGAGTTAGTAACCAAAAGAACTATTTATGTGGATTTTACTATCCCAGAAACTTTTTTTTTAATTTTAATGATTGAAATTTCACTGTCAAATTATCTATTTCAAGCATTTTACATGAACTTTAGGGCATTTCCTCTTTGGTCAGCTAATACCTGACCTTGATACCTCTTTGTATCATACTGTCTATCATAATATGTTGCTAACAGAAAAAAAAAAAATGCTCGTTGTTACGTATTTTTACTTCCAGTCCAAAAGGGAAGCAGAAACAAATGAAGTTGCAGCCTAAAAATGACCAGAATACCTCAGTATCTTATGCCAGGACTAGCTCTCCTTTCTCATCTCCTGGTAAATATGTCTTTTGTTTTTGGTGTTCTGTATCTCAGTATAATTCTGATGTTAGGGATATGGAAGAGGCAGCATGGTTTATAGTGCAAAGAACAATGGATTTAGGTTTTTAAACGTTGTGTTTTATTCCCAATTCTACTTGCTAGTTTTGTGTCCCTGAGTATGACATTAGGCCGTATGATTAATTTTCTTTATTAGACTACATGAAAAGTCTCTTAGTTTTAAAATTTTATGATTAAATGATTAATGTCTATAATATCTCAGAACACTCATCTATAATATATTTACCAACGTAATATTTGAAAATTTGTGATGTGCAATTGGACAAGTTTTTCTGACATTCAACCATTTGTTCTCAAAATATTCATATCATTTTGTTAGAGAAATTTGTAATTTTGGTGTTGGAATAGAGAAACTTATAATGTTGGTGTTGGAATAAAATAAGAGAGAGATGGTTTTAAAAAGTAGCCTTTCCTGAAAAGATGATAATTATGTTAGTATTAAAATCTTTTAAAATGCAAGTTTCAGATGCTGCTGAAGGGCTTTCACTATATCTACTTGATGATGAGCCAGATGGGCCATTTTCTTCATCGAGCTTTGGTGGATATAGCCGAAGTGGAAATAGCCATGACCCAGGGAAAGCCAAATCATTGCGGAATAGAGTTTTGCCAGTTAAACAAGGTAGGAAATAAATACGGGACAAGACATTTATTATTTATTTCTTTATGACAGAAGATAAATCATTTAAAAGCTGACATATTGGCATAGTAAAAACTAGTGTATCCTTAGAGTTAATGAGAATTTTGTCACATATGAGTCAGATAGCATTTCATATTCATAACTGGGAACAGGCCATTAATAGATTTCCAATAGCTATTTTCAAATGTATTTTAGTCATAAAATAAAATGTAAAATGGGGCCAGGCATGGTGGCTCACACCTGTAATCCCAGCACTTTCAGAAGCCGAGGTAGGAGGATCACTTGAGGCCAGGAAATTGAGATCAGCCTGGACAACAAAGCAAGACCTAATCTCTACCAAAAAAAAAAAAAAAAAAGTAAAAATTAGCCACATGTGGTGGCACATAACTCCCAGCTACTTGGGAAACTGAGGTGGGAGAAGCGCTTGAGCCAGGAGTAGGAGACTACGGTGAGCTATGATTGTGCCACTGCACTCCAGCCTGTGTGACAGAGTGAGACTCTATCTCAAAAATAAATAAATAAAATAAAAGGAATTGGGAGAAAAAACTAAATGAAGAGTTCTTTCCCCAAGCACATGAAAACACATTTAGGATTTTTCATTTATTAAACCATATTAATAAGAAAGGAGAGTTTCCAAAGTCATCTTTAAACAGGTCTCATATTTTTGTGGCCCACTGCAGTAAAAATATGAGTCTGGGCTGAGAAATGAGCCTTCTTTCAGTCAACAGCCACTTCTACCACCTTCCTTAAGGTTTTCCAGTTATATAAGTCAGATATCCTCTTCCCTAGGGGCCTGCTGTATCACAAAGTCAGTGGTTTTCAGACTGTGCCCTGCCCGTTTCTGGGGCATCCACAAAAGTACTTCAGGCATTCTCAGAAGAACCTTCTGCATTTAACCAGACAGTTCTGTTTGTTATTTCATATAAGGAAATGCTATTTTACTTTTTATTAGGAGAAAAATGTTCACTGCTTGAAAAGAAATCACTGACCTAATTCATTATGTGCCTCTATTTTGGACCATGCAAGGGACATCAATTATCATAAATATTTGAAGTTTATTGTTACTCAAACTTTCTTCTTATACTTAGTCCTATATTAGGGACTTTGAATGTATTCAAAGAAAGTTCTTTTTTTTTTTTTTTTTGAGACGGAGTCTTGCTCTGTCACCCAGGCTGGAGTGCAGTGGCCGGATCTCAGCTCACTACAAGCTCCTCCTCTCGGGTTCACGCCATTCTCCTGCCTCAGCCTCCCCAGTAGCTGGGACTACGGGCACCCGCCACTTCGCCCGGCTAGTTTTTTGTATTTTTTAGTAGAGACAGGGTTTCACCGTGTTAGCCAGGATGGTCTCGATCTCCTGACCTCATGATCCGCCCGTCTCGGCCTCCCAAAGTGCTGGGATTACAGGCTTGAGCCACCGCACCCGGCCAGAAAGTTCTAACATGTTCAGCTATTTGAAGTTTGTGAATAATATTTAATATGCTTTTTCAAATAATTTTATTGGAATATACGTTTAATTTTATATACATTTTAATGCAAGATTAAGTAGCTTATCCATTGTTATTTAACTATCAAATAACTTAAAAATAGGCTTTTCCAAAGATATTTTATAGTGGCTATGTAAGAAATATTGAAACATATTTGATTACTTGAAAATAATTAGTGCCTTTGTCTTTCCCAATTTATATCTTTAGTGTCTCCTCTGATCTTGCATACTTATGCCATTGCCTTTTTTTCATTTTACTCTTCCTTCCACTGCCAAGATTAATCCATGTTTCCTTCATCTATTTTGCTTTTCCCATCCACAGAGTCGTTTATCCTTTGTAGTATGGTGTCTGTCCCGACCACTCTTCAAAAGCTGTTCTCGAACTCATCAGTACTCTTCAGTGGCCAGCTAGTGTCGTTTTTTAGTTTTTAACTTCTCAATCTCTGTATCATTGCATGTTGTTGATTACCTTCTCTATGAACTCTACTCTTAAGCTTCTATACTCTATTGATTAGCTTATATCTTTTATTTCTGTTTCTTCTCTTTGCAGAGTTTGCCACTGTTTTTTGTTTGCTTGTTTTTGTCTTCCACAAATAAAGGAATCTAATGACTGCATCCGTCATCTTGACGTGATGACTCTCCAAATGTATATGCACCGCTTAGATATCTCTTTATTCTATTAGAATAATTTCCAAGTGCTTCCTTAAAAAATTAAAAAAAAAATCTTCGGTTGCTTATCATCTTTGCATCTCCAACTTGCTTCTTTTTCTTTGCTCACTATTTTAGTTAATGGTATCACCATCTTTCTTGCCACCCAGCTTAAAATTTCAGTGTTTTTTGACTCTTCATTTACCCCTCATACCTAGTCAGTTGCCAAGTTTTGTGAATTCCACAACTCTTTAATACCACTTAAACCTTCTGTGTAGTTTCTACTGCTGTCACCCTAGTCTCCAGCCTAGAGTATTAGTCAGCTTGGGTTTCCATAACAAGATACCACAGACTGGGTGGCTTAAACAGCAGACATTCATTTTCTCACAGAGCTGGAGGCTCGATCCAATGTCAAGGTGCCATATAGGTGTGTATCTGATAAGGGCTTTTTCCCTGGCTTCTATATGTCCACCTTCTTGCTTTGTCCTCATGTGACCTTGCCTCTACAGAGAGATGGAGGGAAATACCTCTAGTATCTCTTCTTCTTCCTGTAAGAACGTCAGTCCTGTTGAGTTATAGTCCCACCTATATAACCTCATTTAACCTTAATTACCTCCTTAAATGCCCTAATCTCCAAATGTAGTCGCTTCAGAGGTTAGGGCTTCCACGAATTTTGAAGGGATGCAATTCAGTCCGTAACACCCAGACTTATTACATTAATCTTGTAATTATCTTCAGCCCTAATCTTACTTCTTTTCAATTCTTCCAGTCTGCTCTCTTGATTCCTTCCTACCTCACTGGCTGGTCTTCCATTTTATTTGTTGGTTCTTCTTTATCTTTAAATATTTGAACATCTCAGGTCTCAGTCTTCAGCCACCTTGTCTGTCTTTACTTACTCATTCAGTGAGCTCTCGTAGTTCTCATTACCCTAAATATTATCTCTACTGAAAATTTCCACAATTATATCTCTAGCTCCACCCTCTCCCCTGAGCTCCAGACTGGTGTTTATTTCTTTCTTTTTTTTTTTTTTTAAAAAGTCTTTCCTGGGATCTGTGTCAACATCTAAAATGGAATCTTGATTTTTCCAGTGCCCTGCTCAAACCTGTTGCTCCTTCAGTGTTCTCTACCTCAAAATATCTCTACCATTCACCCAGTTGCTTAGACCATAAAACCTAGCAGTCAGTCTTCATTCTGTGCTTGACACTTGACATATGATCTGTCAGCAAGTCCCATCAGTTCAGCCTTTGAAATGTTTCTCTAGAAGGAAATATTCCAAATATAGTCACTTATCATCACATCTATTGACATATCCTTCATCATGTCTTACCTAGAATACTGCACTGGACACCCAAACAGTCTCTCCTTCCACTTTCAGTCTTGCCTCCTCTGTGATCTTTTTTATATACAGCAACCATACCATTTTAAAAATATAAATCAGATTCTTTCTCCAGCTTACAATTCTCCACTGGCACTCATCTCCTACCACTCACTGTTTTTCTATTCCACTATGGTTATACTGGCTTGCTTTCTGTTCCCTCCTCTGGAATGTTCTTTCCCTACATCTGACTTCATTCAGTTATTTCTTCTAATACTACCTCTGTAGAGAAGTCTTCCCTATCTAAAATACACTCCCTTCTACACATAAATACTCTTTTTAAAAATCCTCTTTATAACATGTCTGTGTGAAATTTTATTATTAATTTATCACTTTATTATCTTTCAAGGTATTCCCACTAAAATACAGATTCCAAGAGCAAGGACTGTCCCTTTCATTGCCATATTCAAATCTTCTAGCAATGCCTTGCTAATAGTAGACAATGAATAAAAATTTATTGACCAAATGAATGAAACTAATTCATGTTCTCAGATAATTCTTCCTGAAGTAGGCCCTTAAAACTTCTGCCTAAACCTCATTGCCATCATTCCACCCCCATAATCTCCTCCCCCTCCCAAAAAAGCAGACAAAAATGAACACTTTAATATCTTATATTTTGAAGAAATTTAAATTCTTACTCTGACACCCTCTGTGATTTTATTCCACGTATTTTTGGGAACTGTAGACTGTCTTTGAACCTAAATAACCATTTTGTCAATGTTGAAGCTTAACAATTAAAAATCATTTATTTTAATTTAGATCACTCCCTTGATGGACCCCTTACAAATGGTGATGGCAGAGAGCCCCGGACAGGAATCAAGAGAAAACTACTTAGTGCATCAGAAGAAGATGAAAACATGGGAGGAGAAGATAAAGAGAAAAAAGAAACAAAAGAGAAGTCTCATTTATCCACCTCAGAAAGTGGAGAGTTAGGATCCAGTTTAAGTTCTGAAAGTACCTGTGGTTCTGACTCTGACTCTGAATCAACTTCCAGAACAGATCAAGATTACGTAGATGGAGACCATGATTATAGCAAATTCATACAAACCAGACCTAAAAGAAAACTCAGAAAGCAACATGGCAATGGAAAAAGAAATTGGAAGACCAGAGGCACAGGAGGAAGAGGCAGATGGGGAAGATGGGGTAGATGGAGTAGAGGAGGCAGAGGAAGAGGAGGCAGGGGACGAGGGAGTAGAGGAAGAGGTGGAGGTGGCACTAGGGGGAGGGGAAGAGGGAGAGGAGGAAGAGGTGCTTCTAGAGGAGCTACCAGAGCCAAGCGAGCACGTATTGCAGATGATGAATTTGATACCATGTTTTCAGGACGTTTCAGTAGACTGCCTCGAATTAAAACAAGAAACCAAGGCAGGAGGACTGTTTTATATAATGATGATTCTGATAATGACAATTTTGTGTCCACTGAGGATCCTCTGAATCTTGGTACATCCAGATCAGGCAGAGTGCGTAAAATGACAGAAAAAGCCAGGGTTAGCCATCTCATGGGATGGAATTATTAACAGTTAATAAATTTAGAATAACTTAAAAAATTCAATGGCCTTCTACTGCAGGGAATTTACCAGGAAATCTACAAAGCAAGTTGTGTGGGGACTTCTGCTTCCTTTCACATTGGTGCTTTTCCATTTATGCCAGTATACATTTGTTTCAAGACTTTTGATCTCCACACTTCATTTGTTCAAATAAGCCTTACTCATTAGGCCTTAAATTAAAAGAAATTCTGCCCACACACACACACACACAAACACACACACACACACACGAAACACAACACAGACACACTACAGATTTACTACATTAAAGGAGCATTCAGCTTCTTAAGAGTAGCATGACATTTTTATCTCAATAGAATAGCCCTCTTTTGCTTTTGTATCACAGAAGTATAGCACCTTCTTACAGAGTTTTATATAGTTTGTTTTTGCCATTTTGATTCCTATACCCAGTAATAATAACTTTTGCACAATACACCAATCCTAAAGGCAGCTATTAAATGTTTACAGTTTCTATATTGTAAGAGCGATCTGGATTATTTTACTCTTCCCAGGCCAAACTTTCATGACTTGTACTGAACTGAAGTATATATTTATACTACAGTTTTTTGGGGGGTGGGGGGATCTTGATATGCTTTTCATTGATTTGCATAATTCACGTTAAAGGTGAGAAAGGGTTGGTGCCTTGTAAATATGTAGCAGATCTTCGTGGTGTGTTCTGATGTGTGCATTAACTTTATTAAAAAAGAATACTTGAGGTATCAATCTAGACAAGGTGCCAAATGCAAAAGTTTCCTGCATCAATTTTTTTTCCTATCACATTTTATTGCATTAATAGAATTTGTGTAGCTTAAATAACTTAAACATTTGAAAAATCCTCATCCACAAAGAACAACTTCTTTGAACAGTAGCTCAGCTACCTCTTAACTACAACTACTGGAAACATTAAGGAAAATAGATGCTGTTATTCCTTACTGACTAAGGAGAAATAGAACAAGCTTAGTAGGAATGAATACCCATAAGTTATAAGCTGAGAGGTTGTTAATAATTGTATTGGCTCTCAAATTAATAATTGTAATTAACAAACTTTCATAAGTATAGTATGCTCTACCTTAGACTTTCTTAGAACATGAACATATTTGTGTAAGTAGACTTGGGCTACTGCTCATATATTTCTGCTCCACTTACCATTTAACAGCTGTGAGTTACTGGTTTTCATTTGAATCTTAAAATTTAACAAAGCACCTAGTTTGAGTTGGAATGTTTTGGCTAGCTAGTATTATGAATCAACTTATAGATTCTGCTCATATCATTCCAAAGGGTTCTTCTGTTCTAGTCTTTCAGGAAAGAACCTTATTGCACTGCACACTGATGTTGTGAATCATTATTTTATAGATAAAAAGCATCTTTAAAAACCCTTATTGTCTTGTTTACAGCAGTAGAGTGCACATGGTTCCATAAGTGAGCTTGAGTTTCAAGGTCAATTTTAGTCCCCAAATTTAATATTACAGATTTGTTGATTTGTTAGATACTTACATTTCTGAGGTAAGAGGGATAATATCAATTTATGTTTCTGTAACAGCAAATTTGTTGCACTTAGATCAGGCTCATGGGATAAAACAGACTTCTTAGTGTATACCTAGCTATCCCAGGATTTTTCTTAAGCTAATGTGTTTGTCTCATGCTTTCAATCATTTCATGCATCTGAAAACCCTTAAGTGCAGAGGAAGGTGTACACACATAAAACTTTGCTTTTTTGGTAGGGTCGGCAGTAGGGTTATTCTTGGACTAACATCTTTAAGCAGTTTTCACTTGCAGTAGAAATGATGTTCAGGCTTTAAGAGAAAGTATTGTTGTGAATTGTTAATGGCACTAACTTCTGTTACTAGACAGCAGACCAAGCTATTTTTTTGTTGTAGTCTTTTTTTCACTAAACCAAAACTACTACTGGTTGTAACTCAGCTGCCACTTTTAACCATAGTAGAGATTCAAAACGTTCCTATTTGAAACTACATTTGGTTTTTCCTAAAACGTGCTGTTTCAGTTATTTATCTCTTGGGCATTTAGACTAAATCGTGCCTGTATTCCTGAAATCAATAATACTTTGGCCTATCCTGATCTAAGTAACATAGTTACTTAAATTCCTGGATATACCCAAATATGGATCACATGTATCATTTTAGTGTGAAATTTTTTGTTGACATTCTTCTATGAAGAGCTGACCTCTTGAAATGTAGAAGAATTGACATTTGTGTGATTTTGGCTATCTGGAGCTTTATTTATAATTTATTTTGAAAAATAAAAATGCCACATTTATTTCCCAAATGTCAAGATTTTCTAGAATTAGATAATTAGAATAATAAGGCTGAAGACATTTTAAAGCATATTTTATATGTAGTGAAATACTGTGAAAATATTAGTGAACAGCACTTTGCTGTAATGTTTATTTCAGTTATTAAGATTTAAAGAGTTAGTCATCAGGGTATGTTAGATAAACATAGTTATCATTTATTAAACAAACAGATAATTTTCTGTTTGCATGCAAATTATTTTAATAAGTGTGAAAATAAAAGTTTGGAAGATAGTATTTTTACTTTTATATCTGGACTTTTTTCCCCCCAATTTACACTTTGCTTTCTTGTAATACCACCTCCTGTGAATGTGTTGTAATTAGTATCACATTGATTACTTTATCATTTTAATTTCTTTGAGGCCCTTTAAACTTACGTAAAATCTGGGTCCAGCCATAGCAAAGCAAGTAGGAAATGAACAAAGAATTTTGAAGAAAAGCCTAAATCTTAAATTGCTAAGAAAAACCACTGTTATATTTAGGCCCATGAGAGCATATACATGTATAAACCTAATCCTATGCTAGATATGAATAGTCAGTGAGCTGTAATATTTCTCATAAATGCTAATAATGTTTAAATTCCCAGCTTTAAGATCTTAGTGTGTGTATATATTTATAAAATCTGAACTGTGTGTTTCTTCTATGGCTTACTGTGTGTTTCTCTTTCAGCAATAGGATGCTCTCTCAAACATTCACTAGCCTACTAGCCCAATTACTAAATTTTTGTATATGTGTGTTTGTGCACTTGTATGTGTGTAAAGTTTTTTCCCCAACTTGACACACCTTATCTCCGACATTCAAAAAAAGAGAACATTTTGTATGGAGGACAGTCTACCAACTTTTTGCCTCTGTACAGCTCTTAGCCTGTATATTTACTGCTTGATCATCCATTTCATTATGCCTTCTAGATAACCAGTCCAGATTTTATCATGTATCTGTGTCCCTCTATTCTTTTTGTTTCCCTTTTTAATTTTTTTTCTTTTTTTTCCCCTCCCCAGAAGTCAGACTTGTGTTGGAATTCTTCTCTATAACACTTTGTTTCACCCAGATGCAAAGTAACAAAGTAACTGAGTAAAATTATAAATCTCATTCTGCACAACTGTGTGCTCAGCTATTTAACTCAGCCTTCTAATGCTTTGAAGTACATTTCAGTTATTTATGTTTTTGTTGTTTTTGTTTTAATCCCATAGATTGTCATCAGACAATAATAGAGTGATTGAAAGAGAAAGATGTAAATGCCACTTCTAACTTTTTGATAAAACTTTTTTGAGCATTTTTCAAAAATTTGTGTGTTTCTGGTAATGGGGAATTGAAACACCTTTTGCTTGTTTATGTATGTTGGGAATCATTTTATGTACATTTACCAACTGGTACGTATCTTCAAGTTGGAATTTTCACATCCATAAAAGGGAGACTTGCATCATATATAATTTTCAGTATACTTTGCTGTCCAGCCTTTTAAACAATTACAGTCATATTTTGAGTTCTGAGATGAATAGTTCTAGGGGAAGGGATGGAACTTTTGACACGTAAAGTCCATTGTTTTAAATGCTAACCCCATCCCCAATATTTTTGTGGAGCGTGAGACTTTATGAAAGGTTTATCAGAAATAGAATATTCTAAGGTCACTTTTATGGCTTGTTTCAAAAATTAGTATGAAAGTATTTTCATGCTTTTTTGTTTCTCATCTTTTAGCAAAGCTTCTTTACCAAGTTTTGATTAAATTCCAACATAAAATTAAGTTTTTTCATGGTGCTATATTTTGTGGAATATGGGTAGCACTCAGGTTTCTTTCTTTTCTTTTCTCTTTTCTTTTCCCCTTCCTTCCTTCCTCCTTTCCTTCCTTCTTTCTTTCCTTTGTTCCTTCGTTCTTTCCTCCCTTCCTCCCTCTCTTCCTTCCTT